GACAACTACCAGGACCCCTCCTGGACCACTCAAGATGAAGGCAATTACCTTGGCAACCTTGGCCGTTTCGGCGCTCCTCTCTGGAGCTTCGGCCAAGGAGATCGCACCCAGTGAACTCGTTTCTGAGATCTACGACAGCGGTGTCATTCACAAGGACCTCATGGCCCGTAAGAAGGTAATTGATGCCTACAGCTCTGCTTACAGCACCTTTTCTAACCTTCGCAACTCATAGGCCTCATGGGATCGCCAGAGAGAGGCCGGAGAGATGGAGTCGACCAAGTACACGAGCCGGCTCGCTGAGGAGGGTCCCGTTTCTTGCGTTAACGGTGTTGCCGAGGTCATCTCTGGCGATGCCAACAACACCTTCAAGTGCAACAAGGTCGACTTCTACGACTTCAAGAGCCACTCCGACCTTGGCTCTACCGCCGGCGAGGGATCTTCTTCCTGGGGTTGGACCAGCCCTGACGGTCGCGAGTTTGCCATCATTGCTCAGGCTGATGGTGCCGCCTTTGCTGAGATCACCTCTGCGGGCAAGCTCGTCTACCTTGGTCGCCTCCCGCAGTACTCTACCCAGTCCATCTGGCGTGAGCTCCGTGGGTACAAGAACTACGTCGTCATCGGCAGTGAGGCCTCCCGCCATGGTGTTCAGATCTTCGATCTGACCAAGGTAAGCTCATGAGCATCGACTTGCCCGAACCCTCAAGCAATACTAACTATTGACGATAGCTGTTGGACATTGACCCCGCCAGCCCGGTCACCTTCAGCAACTCCCGTGACCTTACCGGTTACTGGAACGGCCTTCCCGCCGGCTCCACCCACAACATCGTCATCAACGAGGAGAAGCAGTACGCCGTTGCTGTCGGCGCCCAGCCTCGTTCTAGCGCCTGCCGCTCTGGTCTGATCTTCATCGACCTCAGCGACCCCGCCAACCCTACCTCACCGGGTTGTGCCGCCGGTGACGGCTACGTTCACGATGCTCAGTGCCTTGTCTACCGTGGCCCTGATGAGAAGTACTTCGGCCGTGATATCTGCTACGGTTACAACGAGGACACTTTGACCATCTACGATGTTACCAACAAGAACGAGACCAACATCATTTCTCGCACCTCTTACGAGGGTGCTAGCTGTATGTTGACTTGCTTTGCCCGTGTATGAAGTCACGAACATAGACTAATTTTATACACAGACACCCACCAGGGTTGGGTCACCAACACGGAGTGGCAGGAGTACCTCGTCCTCGACGACGAGTACGACGAGGTTGATGCCACCGGCCCTGCTGCCAGCGGTTACCCCATCACCTACTTCTGGGACATCAGATCTCTCGAGGCTCCCAAGCAGACTGGCTACTACCGCAGCGAGGCCTACGGCATCGACCACAATCAGTTCGTCATCGACGGCCTTGCTTTCCAGAGCCACTACGGTGCCGGTCTCCGCATTCTCGACGTTTCTTCTTTGCCCGATGACCCCACCGGAGGCGGCGTTTCCGAGGTTGGATTCTTCGACATCTACCCCGAGAACGACAACGAGCCCCTTGGAGGATCTATTGACTTCGTCGGCACCTGGTCTCACTACCCTTACTTCAAGAGTGGCCACATTCTGATCAACACGATTGAGCGCGGTGCCTTCGTTGTGAAGCGCTCTGCTTAAAGGGTTCGAGCATACAGTATGCCTGCATGTGTCCATGGTGGATATCAGGAGGTCATGTATATAGCAGTTCGCTGATTGGTGACATATTAGCAGGACGGCTCAGCTTTAATGATAATGATGGAGTAACCTCAAGACAATAGTATGCTTCTCTGAATTCGATCAAGTGAAAACTGTAATTTCTGACGCTCTTGTTTCTTCACTCATAACTCCGTAAGAACATTGAAGTATCTAGCCACTCACACTGAGCAGTACCATGTCGCTTGGAAATCTAGAGAGATCGTCCCTTGAAGTGGAGAATGCTTTGTTTTCCATCACTGGAACTCGCGCATTTGAAAGATTTTCATTACTGCACCATCAAGTTGTGTCTCATAAGCAGACCTGCATCTTAGAACATGTCGTATCGTTAAGCATTTGCGCAGTAAAGCCTATAATTTCCCCGAAACCTTGTTTTCGCAGACTAGGAACGGCTGTCACCTGAACTTGCGATGCTTTAATTCCTTACCAAAAAGAATGCTATCCTTCTTGCTTCGACTCAACGGCCCATATTAGTATGTTCAATCAGCTATCATACAGAATTAATGATCGTAAAGAGGGGCTCATGATTGGGTATCATTAACTTCAGTCTCTCTTCGGCAGCCAAAAGGTCCGAGTGCCGCTACTGTGTCTTAGTCCGATGTGACCGCAGCAACACTGCCTTTTAGAGTTGCGACTACGAAACGCCACGAGTCATCAGCCAGCGCCAGATCAACGTCTGCGCGACCAGAGCGTTCCCCAACAACAAACATCTCTTTGGGTCTAATTGGCATTACGGACTAGCGTTTTCTCGGCCCCGACACGCTCGTCAGTTCAATGTCGGCACCTCGAAGTCTAATCTAAGAATGCTAAACTTCATATCCCCCAAACCTACTGTAGGGAAACGTGCCTGCATGTGGCTAAATGAGACGACAGCTTGAAAACCCGCCAACTTCACATACTCGAAGCCTGCCGACGACATTCACGTATCGCCCATGGGCGAACGCCCGACAGAACTCCTCGTCTCGGTAGATGATCACTGCTCGAAGAAAGCGTCGGCGGACGCGCGTCCACAAGCATGGCGACCGGTCAACTGGACAGCATCTTGAGACGCGATGACAAATTTCTCAAGGAGATGTGGACTTGGTTTGGTGTAGGAGCTCTCGTCATACTGTTGCGGTTCTTTGTGAGAATTCGTATGGTCGGCCCCAGAGGTCTGAAGGGAGACGACTACGCAATGCTTGTTGTAAGTCGAAAATGAGCACTCATCAGTCAATAACGTGACAATGTTCTGACATTTCATCTGGATAGACTTTGTTCTTATACACGGTCTGTTTTGTGATGGTCGACCTAGTGTGTGAGTATCATCTATGGCTATGAGCAGTAATGAAATGAAAAGTATTTGGCGGGACTAATGCGTTTAACCCTAGATCGATATGGCACGAACGTGGATCTCACAGCTGCCCAAATCAGCACTCTTTCCGATGAAGAAGTGGCACGGCTTGTAAAGGGTTCCAAGTTCCAGCAAGTAGCTTGGTATTCATATACCGCATACTTGTGGTCTATGAAAGCAACCTTATTATTTTTCTAGTATTTCACCCTCATCATCCTTCTGAAAGAGAGTCTGACAATTTTGAAGTAAGCGAATGACTTTTGATCTGTGGCAGAGTGCGAGAATGCTGAAACACCTGAGCTGGTTCACGATTTTATCATATCTGGCTGTGGTCGGAACGATAACCTTTAGCTGCATGCCGTGAGTGGTGGATTTTCAAGTTTCACGGGAACGCTTTGCTAATGGCACCCTGCAGATTTTCAGATAATTGGGGAGTGAGGCCCCTGCCTAGTGAAAAGTGTGTTTTCAAGGCCCAAAATCTGTTGGTATCGACATTCCTCAGTAAGTCCAATATAGAGAGTTTAGGTGAATGATCCAATGCTCCGAGCTGACCTAAGAGAAGATGTTGTGACCGATGCAGCCATTCTTTGTCTGCCCCTGCCTGTTCTCAAGGAAATTAGGGTACCCTTCTACAAGAAAGTCTTCATAGCAGTACTGATATGCTCTGGTTTATTCGTCATCGCGGCCGCGATCATGCGAGTTGCGGTAACTTTGGGGTCAGAGCCTTCCACAATCACAGTGAACCGATGGGGAGTCCGAGAATGCGAAGTCGGTCTAATTGCCGTCAACGCACCCATTTTACGTCCTTTATTCTCCCGCAGATTTTGGCAGTGGCATTACCGACCGCCGGCTCGCCCGTCAAATCCTTTGGAAAGTGCAAGAAGGAGCCGAACAACAGTTGGCGGCCATAGACGAAGAGTCATCAAAGAAGACTCACTTCTTGGGTGGGTGAGTTCTACTACCTCAAGAATAGGAACCATTGTTGGAGGGACTAGAGATCGCGGGAACACAGCAGACGTGGAATTAGGTGATGCTGCTAATGAACAGGAGTTGGAGCCTCTTGGTAAGGACGAAGATGATGAAGGACAGAGTTCTCAAAATCCCGCCGATGGCGGGACAGCGGGAAAAGAATGAACCGGCATTTGGGCCCCTATCGGTTCCGACTCATGGGTACCACATGAAGGCAACAGCGGTGTATTTACGAGTTGTTTGGTGTCGAAGAAAAGCGAATCTTGGAAGAACACCCAGCCGTGTAATAGCATAATAGAATTGGTGGCTTACATTTGTGTGACCCCTTCAGGTTCATGCCGAGTCAACTAGAGCTCAACAGAATCAGAAAGCAGAAGAAAAAACCGAAACGCCGCTTTGCAAAACCAAACTCCAAGCCTCAGACCTAGCGCAAATTCATAGCAATTTCGCAGAACGCGGCCAAGAAAACTCAACCAGCCAACTATTACCTGAACCCATCCGAGTCCCACTTGCCCGTTTACTGCAGCAAACATCATACTCCATGTCTCTATTATCAATTCTCAGTTCTGGGGGTCGTCCACAGTGTCCATCAAGCTTTTCCTCGGTACATTTACTCAATCAGTCTAGCCAGTCTACTTCACGTGGTGTTCAGTCGTTCCTGGGTCTCGTAACGGTAAGAAAGCATCCGGAATCATTCGAGACTCCAATCTTACAATGCCGACACGGTTGGTGTTCACGTTACAGTGTTCTCCCTTATCTCGGCCAGCCTCTCGACACCAAATTCACAAGCTCGGACAGCTACTATAGCCAGCTGAATTTCACAAAAAGTACTGGGGGCTCTCGGGGAGCTCTTCAGTGGTGGACAGTATTGGAGTCGATTGACTACGCTCGTCGCCCTCTTGAGTGGCATTCTCTGGTTCACTTCCCGTGGCGGGATGGTGCAAAGGCCATAGGAGGATTCTGCTAGGGTAGACTGGACCTAGGAGCCGAAGCTGCTCATCTAGGTCAGTTGCTTGGGTCTCACTCACAGCAGTCATGACCTCGTGAAGGGAGTCATCTTCATAATACACGAAGTCGCTCTCGGGCTGCACAATCGGGTAGATCAGAGCATCGATGCCGGCATTGACGCGAGCATCGACGTCTTGAGCACGAAGTGGGCAAGGGGTATCAGATTCGCCATTGCTACTGGCATCAACGTCTCGAACACGACGGGGACGAGGAGCATCAACCTCGCTATGGCTGCTTGCATCTTGGATACCGCTGGCAGTTTCCGAGTCTCTCGGCCAGTCGAGTACAACGCCTTGGTTCAACAAGGGGCGTTGCGGCTGGAGGAGCACCCTGTGTGGTGGCACGGGAGGCGGCGTATTATCGATGGGGCCGAGCAAGAAGTCAATGGGATCTTCTTCATCCCACTGAGAAACATCAGTAGCACCAGAAGGAGCCTCAATCGCCGTGGAGATATCATCAGTGTCGAGGTCGGTCCCCTTATCAGGCTCGTGCTCGAGGTAAGCGATTGAATTCGGTGACGGGAATAGGGGCTGAGGAGGCTCGAAAGTGGGTGGAAAGGGAACCGTAGGGGTCCCAAATGCGCTCTCGTCGAAGAGAGGACCGAGGAGTGGAGGCGAATCCAGATGCAGCCTGGTTTGTTGTCTTCTAGCATGCTCGATGTCTCTGCGTTCAGTCGGCCTTTTGTTCCCACGAGAGCGTAAGGTGGCGGGACCCTTCACTTTGCGGCTAGCATCAACCTTGGATCGCTTGATGATGCTTAGAGGTGCGGGGACCATAGACGGGTCAATAAAGCCGCTGTACTTTGTCCAAAGAAGGGCCGTAGGCAAATTCGGCTGATTGAATGGTCCATTTCCGTGGTTATTGTCTTCCTCGCCTATGGTGAACAATGGCTTTGCCTCGACGTTGGGGTAGACAGGTTGGCTTGCGTGGATGCTTGGTTTGTTCTTCGACGGAATTCGCAGGGGCAAAGGCTCTTCGGATGCAATGAAAGAATCACTCGCACGGTGGTCCCCAGCAAGTGCCTCCTGACAGTCTCCAAGTTCAAGGTCAAACAGGAACTCATCAATTTTTCCAATCACTTCCGTGATGATCTCAGGCCTCTTCTGCTTTTCTCGCGCTTCAGCACAGATGGATGAGACGCTGGAAAACCCGGTATGGCTGCAATAGCGCTCTCCAGGGACATGAGGTGGAATGGGGTGATGAATGTTATCAACATCTCTAACAACCGTGATGACCGAGTGGTTGTCGTAATCTCCGTAGGAGTTTTCCCAAGTGTGCTGTGCGACGCCAAACTCGTATTCTGTTTGGGAATCAAGAGAAAGCTGAAAGAGTCGTGTGGGCCTGAACAAGGCGTCTGCGGTCCTGTTGCGGCTTCTGTGGCCGAAGAGGGGACGAGAGGGTCGAGGGGGAAGTTCATCAAGAGGACTCAAGGGATTTTCAGAGGCCCATGCTGCTCGATGTGTATAAGTATGAAACGTTGTCACACTAGAAAAGAAAGGAAAGCGTACCTGGGCTTGGGGAGCTCCGTCGCGATTCCTCAACGCTTGAGGTATCCGAGAGACCAGTCTCAGAGAGCCCAGACAATCTCTAATTGCCTTCAGCGTCTAGAAACTGATTGAAAGAGATGTATTCCGGGAACACATTGCTATTATCCACCAGATGCTGAGTTCCGGGCAAGTTTTCATCGGACTCCGCAACAGAATGAGTGTCCACGCTGTTGACATCCATCACCTTGGCCATTTGCAAAAAGTTTGCTATCGTGAAGCCAGCATAAATCGAAGGTCGACGCAAAGGCCCGATTGCAGTTGCTTGACGCGTAGAAGTAATGGATCGGGACGCGTTGGAGAAGAGATGACTGCTGTTGACCACAAGCTGGCCGCAGTTCCATTGACAGGAGCTTAAGTCGTCGCGCACCTTTCGCGTTGGGTGAGGGTTCCTGAACAACAACGCAAGGCCTAGCCGAATAACACCACTGAATGGCATCTTCAATGACGTTGATCACTGAAATCCATCAAAGTCAGCCAAGATGAAGAAATAGAAATCCTCATTCTGCTTGGGCACTGACGAATATGAAGCCAATCAAGCTGCTGGAAGATGTCGAGTTGCGAGAGGGAGCTTGCCTGACAGTATCTGACCAGTATGTGCTTCACGACCGTTGGTGAGTTGATGAGATCTTCCCGCTCGGATCTGCGGAGGAAAGGAATAGGCGCAATAGAATGGGGTGCGGCAAGGGAGCGGCTAAGTGTATGGAAGAAACATCAATCAAGGATGGAAGTAGAGTTGCTCAGTCACAAGTGTGGTCAAGCCAGGTTGATTCTCTTCTCACAGCGGGAAAAGGGTGCGAAGGGCAAAAGGCCTGAGGAAAATTGCGCAAAGTCGCGGAAAGTCGCGGAGAGTCTTGGGGTGGTGAGGAAGAAGAAAGGAGGCCAACACGACGAGGAATGAAATGATGTGTAAGTAGTCGAAGGGTCGTCCGAAGGGCGGTAAGGTCGTTCGGTCGTTTGGCCGCCAAGTCGTCCCATATCTGGAGGCATCAGTCACTACCTCACGAGGACCCACTACGAAGCTTCACCTGGCCGTCTAAATGTCACCTAAAGCGGACTCATATTAGACTTCACCTTTCCAAAAGGGGAAATTATCACTCGCCAGACTTCAAGTCTGGCCTTAGGATTGCGGTATACCATTCCCGTAGTGGATTCAACATTTGGTAATGCCTAGAGCTCACAAGTATCTTATGCCTGCTTCGTAGGCGGAAATTTCAACCACACAAACGATATCTACACCGGATGATTGAGAAAGGCCTGGGTATTCTCTGACAAGGACGTCAAGCTCAATGGCACTGAGCTAACATAACTTGAAGGCTTGGAGGATATGGTATTGCTCGTTGTAAAAGCTGAAGCACCCAGACGGGTATTGAAGAAAAGTATCATTGGACACATGACGTTTTCGGTAAATTTGAGAAGCACGCATCTTGGTGGCAGAGGCATGTATGGTGACTCGGCTTTGACGGTTGCTCCCTTGCCTATTGTCCTTTTCTTTATGCGTAAACAGCCTGAGCAGGTATAGAACCATCGATGAAGCCGTAAGGCGTAGAACATACTCATTTCACTCAGATCTTGACACATTCATCGTCTCTTTACAGAATGGAAAAAGTCTGAATACCGCTGGATCATATTCGTGGGCTCATGGTCATTGACAGTCGAGCTGGTGTAGAGGAAGTGGAGCCAATTATCTTGTTGGATACGTCAAGTACATTTAGGTACAAAGGACTAAGGTATGTATGTATGCACATATCATATTCCCTAACGCCAGGATATCGATTCCCTACCTCACAATCTCCGGATGGAGAGGATTTTCAAGAAACGGATTCTAGGCATATTTATCCCATGCATTGTTGAGTTCGTCTCGGACTGTTGAATCTTTCATGTTCCCACCCCTGTCTTTCGTGCCATTTCGCTAGTACGATTTTGTCGCATCCGGTCAAACCGTAAGCTTACACCCAATTACCGGGCCCACGCAACAACTTGGTATGCGTCGATAGCGTGGAAGGAACCCAGGGCAAGCTGAACCTTTTCTCGCTGCTCGTTGGTCCCGAATAAGAGCGCCTCCTCCTGGTCATGCAGTGTGAGCCCATCAGCTGCCGAGCCTCCGAGAGCATGCAACCAGTCCTCATTGCATTCATGCAAGTTTCTGGTAGGGCACCAGCATGCCCTGGCATGAAGAACCCATGTAGGTTTAAGTTGCTGCCTGCAGTTTGCCAGATCCAGGGAAGAAAATCCTTCTCTGCAGTCAGCATCCAGGTGGGAGCAACGGTCAAGAGTTCGTTAGATGTGGGCCCCCCATCAATATAATTGATTGTCCATCGCCCACATATTTGAAGTAATAATTAATCGAACGGCTCTTTTATCCCGGCATCAGCTCTTACGCACCTGCTGCCGCACCACGAAACTCATTGACGATGTCGGACCAAGCCGATGCGCCGGTCTTTGGCGCTTTCAGTTCGCTGCTAGGTTACGTTGGGGGACAAGCCGCTACCAGTGCAATCTTTGAGAGGTTTCTTTGGCCTCAGCGGCATTTCTCGTCGTTTTCCATTTATGACATGCCGCGGCTAGCATGTTTATACTCTATGGCAGGTCCTATTGGGTCAATTGCCCTTGAGGTTATCGACACTGCGTATAAGAATGGACTCTTTAGCGGGGCTGTACAAGGCCATATGCTTGGAACACACTTTTACCGCGACCTCGAATGGACCTATATTTTGCACGCCCGCGCAGGAGAATCTGAGAGAGAATCACAAATTCGAAACTGCCTTTGGGTCCAGGCCCTACTCAACATGCCTCTTCCAACCATCGAGGAGCCCTCGATCCGACAACCAAATGACACCGAGAGCGGCAAAGTCACCTCTGAAGAAAAAACAAAACCGGTGCGCGCAAGAGTCGCTGTTAGCCACTTGGTGCTCTCAAAAGCTACAGATGAAGACCTTGGTAACTCTAAGGTCCCTTTCATTTCGGAAGAGATTAAACGCGTTGATTTGCTCTGCTTGGTGGAAATCATTCTGACCGAATGTGTTGGCATCGGCATCATGATCTGCGTAGCCGCAATCACTGGCTCGCTATGGAGCATCATCTTCATTATACCGCTTGTCCTTCGAATTATCGGCACCTTATTCGCCCTTGAACGTGAGGGTCTAACCCCCTTCCCAGACACAATCGATGATGAAGAAACGCGGGACTGGGAGATCAATTGCCCGGCCATCGAAGGAAAATTCATGTTAATCACCGGCCCACCCTCTATCGTTAACCAGTTCTTTCGCCATTACGGACATCCTGTGAGAAATCGATTCCGTGAGGTCATCCAGCTAGCAGTTGTCATTGCCTTTGGGACTTACTTCCCAGTGGGTCTCCTTTGTCAAGTTACCTGGATGCCCGTTTTTGTGCAGTACATCTGGACAGTGTGGCAAGTTTGGCAAGTCTTGGTCATGCATTTCGATCGATATACCCAAAGAGGAACCAGTCGTACGACCACAGATGCCGCCATTGCAGCGAAGCTATTCAAGAATTTCCAAACCAGTGACTCTGACAGAGTTTTCAGAAGCGATGTCCTGTTTGGGCAGAGAAGAAATGGACCTGCTGTTGTAAAGGCTAGTCTATCATTGACAGTAGCGGATAGCTATGCAGACGGAAAGAAAGTTTTGAGAAGCAAGGTTCGGAAATAAAGGAAAGAAAGGATAATTTGCAATTTCGCACAATGCTTGTCATTGGTTCCTCTTGCTTAGAGTGGTTTTATAAAGTCGGTTCCTTTTAACCGTGAAATCACATGTCACTTCTCAGATAACAGGATTTAGAGATAGCAAAAAGGCAGTCAAATAAAGGAGCATAGTCAACTACATACAATGCCACGGTTTATTCAATACACAAAATGACTCTTTGACTATCAAAACTGCCCCAATGCTCGCATTCCTAGACAAAAGTCCACATATATTAGTGAAACACCGAACAATGGTGAGTCGCAAGGACAAAAGAAATACGCGAGATATCTAATCACAGCCTCAACACTGTCGCTGAGTTACAGGTGATGAGTGAAAGCCTTAGGACTGTTTTGGCTTTCTTTTATTGACACGCAGTACATCGCGAGGCCTGGAAATCAAAGTTTGTTATGGCATACCTGCATGAGTAGGCTACAAAGCAACGCAGCAGAAAGCACAACTAAATGAATCAGTCAGTATCTGGAGCTTTTGGAGAGAGATCTGTAGACTAAGATCTTACCTGACGGCTTTGATAACGGAACATGGGAAGTAATGACTCTAGTCCACTAAAGTCACACGGTAACATGGTGTAATACAGCCTTCAGCCTCTCCTTATATAGGTCGCATCAATATAGAGAGGAGCTTGCGTCGTGATTGTATCGGTAGGCTTGGTGGTAATTCTTGTGGATATCTTCATGTTGATCCTCATAAACCTCACCAGTGTACGCCTGGGTGTTCAGCCTCGTTATGGTATGACGCGCCGGATTACCTTGAAGGAGTGTCGGCTGAGAAGCGAAATCGTCATCTTGAGTGTGCATGTCGTAGTGGAATTGCTGAACAAAATCATCTTCCAAGTACTCCAAGAGACCCTTGACGCCAATATGGGTTGTATTTTCCCACAAGAAGTCGGAATTGTCAAAAGGGGCGCAGTCGAGACCCTCCTCATACTCAATAATATGCGACTCTTGATATCTTTTCAGCATGTTGCGATGTTCTTTGAGCCTACTCGAGGAATCCAAGGTGCACAAGGTTGCTTCTCCTACTCCATTCTCATCAGAGACATTTGCAGGCCATGAGTCTCTGAAGGCTGTTTGCACACTAGAGATGGAGAGACTGAAATCCACTTCGAAGGACTCATCTGTTGCCTCAACGAACTTGTCAAGGAAATCTCTCATCGGCAACGATTCAGGGCATTGGGGAGTGATGTGGACCAAAGTGCGGCTGAAATCGTCTTTGACCTCCTGATTACCAGACAAGATCTTTTCACACATGATCGGAAAGAAATCAAAGTAAGACACCCAGTCAATCTTTGGTTTTTCTCTGTTGTCCGTGGAAGAAGTAATAGAATTGTCGTCACTGGACCAGTCTCGGTCACTCCCAGCGTATTCCGAATCGGTTCTTTCAGCGTATGTACACCCAGAAATCATCCTTTGATGGGAGACGAATGAGGAGTCGGCACCAATTGTACTCTCGAGAGGACGGGGTTCTTGGACATATGCATCCCCCTGCGTACATGCTTCTTTGCTATGCGAGGCTTGACAGGCTTGAAAGACCTTTCTACCAAATCCACAAAAAGGGATCTTATGATCAAGATGAGCTAGGAAGGCGCTTGTTCGGGCAAAGCCGAGTCCAATTTGGCATGTTGTGATTCGAATCGATGTGGCTTTATGGATGACACCACTGTACAGAGGTGATCTTGCAATACAAGTTGAGCGAGCTGGTACGACACTATTCGTAAACGGCCAATGACCATGTTCAGCCAGAGCTGAGACAATGGAGCCTTTCATTGTGGAGCCTGTGTGGAAGAGTCCATTAGTTGTCTGCTAATGCCTGGTGTGACGAAGTGTCGTCTTTGCCATAATCGATCACGACTTACCAGCTTTGTCTATCGTGGCAGTCGATGTGTCTTGGGAGGAAATCCGTACAAGCTTTTGACTGCACAAGAAGGAGGCTTGCAGAGAATGGACCTCGTCGCTGGAGGATTGTGTAGACATGGCAGCCTGGCTCCTTCGGCTAGCTGTTGCGATGAAATAGGGTGGGAAAAGGTGGATTGATAATCCTAAATGGGTACAATACCGCTCCTTGACATCGGGGAAGGAAAACCTTGCTGCGGAAATTGAGATGAGGATTAGGATACAAGTAATTATCAAGCAGGGCTAGATTCGCAATTGACGCAAATTTCCCTTCTGCCCATAATGATTTGAAGAAAGAAAAGCTCAATCAAATCACGCAAACAGAGGGCGAGCTGATATGAGCAGATGCTGTGGCAACAACCGCACCGGCAAAACTGGTTCTGATATCACGTGTAATGGCCCAGGTACAAGGGCGGCGAAGCTGAACTTGATCAAAATACTGAAAAGTGAAGTCGACCAGAATCTTACCCTAAGCTCATAAAGGAATTGATAAGTTAGAAGTGGAATGGATGTGGGCTATCTGGGCGAAGGAGTTGCCCAAAGCGCACCTCAGGCGTTCTCGTGATATTAATTCCCAATTGGGAAAAAGCGGCTGGCCATGTCAACTTCACCTTGGACCAAGTTAACAACTGTGGGTCTTTCACAATACAACTGAAAGATACTACATAACAACGACCTAAAGGGTACTGCTTGACGCGGCGCCTTTTCTCACTCTCATAAACAGGCTCTAACATCTCGCTCCTCTGGAGAGATCTCTCTTCCAACCGAACACTGCGTTGCCGCGACTTTTCTCCAGCTTCCGCCGTGATCAGCAAGATACTACATCATTCCTCATATGCTATCAGTAACCCATTGGCGCGGTCCTTTGCCCATTCTCAACACTGGAATTTACCCAACAGAGTCGTCTACAAATCTTATCCATCAATATCTACCCCAGTTCTCGAGACCGCGAGAATCGTCTGCCGTAATTTGCGTTGCCGAAGTACGCCGAGATCCTTCACGTAACGTAGACCCATCTCCCACAAGTAACTCGATCCGCTACTCGCTGCGATCCGCTATACTTGGACGAATACTGATTACGGCAGAATCCAGAATGGGCTTCTTCCGCCGCATCTTTGCCTTCTTGGAAGAAGGTCCACACCATGCCTCGTCCAAGAGCAAGCCAAGCCGAAACCTGGTGAAGGCCGCCGTCGCCCTCAACAAGATGGGTCGCAAGCCATCTTGCAACAGCTCTAGAGACGAAACAGTGGTTTCGAACAGCCTTGTGACTATTCGAGGCCATGCGTCCACTTGCGAACGCAGCTCTGAATCCATCTCGCATCATTCTGTGCCTGCCACAAACCAAATTGACGGCCAACTTGGCGTCCTGGACGGTGCTATCGACTTTGAGTCCGAGAAGCAGTTGGCAATTCGTATTCTGAATTGCAGAGACCCATCCATAATGAGCCTCAGCTCCTCCATCGAGCCCATCATCCCCGAAAGGGCTCACGAGGCTGTCTAGTGGACATGCTTCGAGGGCCAGGAGGGTTTACGATCTTCATCATTGGGATTAAACACAACCACGACTTCGCCTCTCCTCGCCAAGAGCTCGAACAAGGCAAACTTCCTCGCTCATCGAAGTATCTCTGGCTTGGAGCCTTTCCCGCTGCTTGGTCCGAGTTCCGGTCGCACAGTGAAGAGCAGGCGGAAGGTTTCTGGTCTTGCCCATATGTACCAGAGCCAGGCATTCCCCCTAATCGAGCCTCGTACTACTAAGCCAGAGAGGCGACGAATCAGACAAGTCTCGGTCTCTCAAGTATCAACTATCAGCTCAAGCTCTCTTAGTGGACTATGTGACCTGGATGAGGACGTGTTCGTCAGGTTCCCGTCTTTTGAGCAGGCTGGAGTGAAGCAGCTCAATGAACTCCTCGAGCATGAGAGCCGTTTTGCTAAGTACCATGAAGAGGGTGACGATGACGATGAGTGGGGTATCGAGTGCGACGGCATTGATGAAGCTGCAGTCTCGTCGAAGAGACACCCTAACATCGTCCGTTACGAGAACTACGCCGATGACAGTATAATTCAACAGGTCTATGAAGATCTTCTTGAGGTCGAAAATGCCGATTTCAAGACTGCCACGAAGTCGGCTCAGAACTTGCGATTTGGCAACTACACCACAGGCAAGTATGTGAAGATTAAGTCGGAGCATGATGATAGCGCGCCGAAACCGCAGAAGAAGCCGGGCAAGTGGGTTGCTGGTCTCATTCGTAAGGCCGTCGGCCTCTTCTTCCCAAAACTACCTAGAGTGCCCTCTCCCTTGTCGCTGAACAGCGATTCGATTTCCTCTATTCCCTTGGAGATGAAAGACAATCTACTGCATGCAATGGAGATACATCATGCCTAAGTCTCTACGAGGTTCATTACGATTACGGGAGCAAAGGTAACAGAACTTCAGAGACCTAGACTGTGTCAACACGCTGATGAGAACATGGTTTCTAGATGATTACGAGCGTCTTTCAGCATCCTTCATGTTTCTGTATGTTGAGAACACTGTCTTGCGGCCTACACGCTGTGCACAGGGTAATTTGTTTTCTAGCTCGTTGATGATTGCGTAAAGGCCCAAAGGCTGAAGCTATAGATGAACTCTGGGTCACTATGCAACAGCATGGTGTTGAGTTTGGTTGTTTATCTTGGCCTTTGGACTTCCTGAGTTTTATTTGGTTGGCGTTCTGTTCTTTTAGGGGGCTTAATCCATTTCATCACGCGATTGAGCTCTGTCTACGTCTAAGGTAATTACATCACGCACTGAGAGCGGAAATATGGACATCGGGATTGACAAGCTTGTTTCTTTTTCTTCTTAACAGCGAGAGGCTGTCTTAATATTAACAATAACCCTTAACCTTTCGCATTTCAAAACTTTGTTCGCGAGTCAACGTCAACGAGTCCGTGGACTTTGAGCTGCCCAACCTCTTGGAATGCCACGACGGACTCGTGGTCAGATTTTGCTTGAGTCGTAGGCCGCTGGTGTCAGTTGCAATCCACACATAATTCGCATCTAACTATACCTCAATCAGAGGTCGGCGATGCTAGTGCCAGACCAAAGTGAGCTTCGGTGTTTGTGCCTGGCGCTAATCTAGATCAACTATCACCAATGGAGAAATAGGTTCGACGAGCTTTCGCCTTTGCAGAAGTTCAAGTCGTCGTCATCTTCTTCAGGGCGCCGGCACCGATTGCCGCCACAAAAGGCTTCACACGAACTCGGAGATGCTTGCCATCCGTTTTTTTCTCTCGCACGTATCCGTACCACGACTCGGCGTCATCCGAGCCTCTGGAACGGACTGCTGCATAGGCTTGCAGATGCTTCGACGCACGACTGCATTTCCGCATCGTCTCTGTGACAACCACTTAGCCGCATCGCAATTCTTATTTGAGATCATTCGATGCAATACCAAGTTGCCGGCACCTAAGGGATCCTGAAAGGTGCGTGAGCGATACGCTTCGATATGACAGGATTCCCGAGGCGGTGCAGCCTAGCGCAGGGGGGATTATCCTCGTTAGCTTGGCTAGCGCAGAGACCCCGCGACCTAGAAGACGGGATGTGGATGGTCAATATCGCATGTCGTAGGTCATCTTCATGAATCACGTTGACCTCTGAATATGCTCTTTACTATTCGTGGGGATCTGACGTGTCAGCAGCTGGACAAATCTCTTGTTGGCAATAAAGAATGGAGTCGAAGGGAAGTTTCTATTGTGAAAGCTTTCGGTAGTTCGTTTCCAAAGATTACAATTACGCAATCCGATGTTGAACGCGTTTCCCCCACCGTATTGGATTAGCTCGAGGTCAAAACTCGGACGCAAAGACACTTGAGCCGCTGCATTGCCAAAGCTGCCCCTGAGCTTCGACGCCAGAAGGGGAAGAAGCCCGGCCGGCACGAAAGAAAACACGATTTTGCTCTTAGCGCTCCCCACCAGTTAATGACAGTTTTCTGATGTTTTGAGATGGACTTTCTTTCCATATCCACTCTGGACCAGCTCGGCCCTCCGGATCTCCGTTCAGAAGTTTCAGGGTGCTGTTCGTCGTTCTCGTCCTCGGCTTGAACGACAGCCAGCGTTTCGTTTGTACGAGAAACTCAATCTGCTGCACCATTGATAGCCGCATGTGCAGCGATTGGTGATCGTGCAGCCTAGAGCTATACAGCACCTCGCACCGAGGTTTTCGAGCTGCAGACCGAGAGCCTCCAGTTTGCCTTTGCTTTGAGTCAGACGAAGGATCTGTTGCCATATGAATGTGAATGGCCCGTGTGCGAACAACATACGTGCGGCACCCTCGAGTACGTAGCTGACCACACAAACTCTATCCAAGCCAGCCGCACAACAACACTCACGCCACACCCGCTCTGCGACCAACTGGTGGCTCACCTGAAGCTCTCGAGTGGGACTCCTGATAGTATCTGACTCTTGCCAGGTTAGCGAGCATGGTCCGATGATGCTGCTGCCTGACCCCATCCCTCGAGTCACGAGAGAGGCGAAAGCTGGACTGCAAGGTCCCTCTCACCGTACTTACCTTACTTAAGTAGTTGATGGGCATGAGGCCCGTAGGATCATCCGACGAACAAGTCGCCGTAACCTTCAGAACCTGCAGTCCATAATTGGAAACGAGGTCAAAAGTTCGTATCAATTAAGCTCATCGGCATCGCAGAAGTTACCAGAGTCTCGGCCTCGACTCTGCCGGCACGGGCTCGCATGTTGACACTAGAACAACAGGGACCTGGCTAGTACCTTGCACCCATTCTTAGACCATGTGTGAGATGCTAGCGCGGACATGTGCCGTCAAGGAGCACCAGTGCTGGTGCAGATCGGGTTAAGCCCATCAGCCTCAGCATAGCAACACGGATAGGCTTCCCGAGTCCGACTCTGCCTACGGGCGAGATCAACGATGATCAACGGGGATGTTCTACGGTACTGGGATGCTGTACCCCAGCCGTTGAAGACAGTCCGTCTCGTTTTTAGATATTGGCTAACTGAACTCGAGCCGCCTTCAAGGAGTATATAGCTCAAACATGCTCACCCTCTTTCTTGGCTTTTGGGAATCATCAGCAGTCACTCACTTAGACATCTGACAACAGTCTTTTCACACACATTCGTTTCTTACTTTACCGAAAAGGTTAGCTGCCAAGATGGTCGCCATCAAAGGCATGGGAGGCGTTCTTGGCTGGTTGTTCTCCATCCAAGCGTCTCTGAGCCAAGACAAGACCAACGGGTAAGACAACTCTCGAAACACAACTTGGTTGCATTTTTAACAAGATATCATCTTAACTAACATGAACCCTCGTGCAGAAAATCCCCTCTTGGCACTCTGAATGCTGCCAAGCTGCCACTCTTTATGAGAAACAACCCGCTACCCAACGGCTTTCCCTGGGGCAAGCTTTCCGCTGACGGCACCAACTACTACAAAGAGTGGCCCAACACCGGCGTCACCCGCAAATACGACTTCACCGTCAGCCGCGGTGTAATCGCCCCTGATGGCTATGAGCGCAAGGTCCTGCTCGTGAACGGCGCTTTCCCCGGCCCTACTATAGAGGCCAACTGGGGTGACTGGATCGAGGTGACGGTCACCAACAACATCACCGACGGTCCTGAGGGAACCGCGCTCCACTGGCACGGGTTCAGACAGCAGAATACTCAGTGGGAAGATGGTGTCCCGGCTATCTCCCAGTGCCCGATTGCTCCCGCCAAGACCTACACTTACAGGTTTCAGGCGACTCTGTATGGAACTTCTTGGTATCACTCTCACTACTCCTCTCAATACGCTGGTGGCTTGTTCGGACCCATAGTCGTCTATGGTCCTGCTAAGTCTCAGCCTGAGGTTGATCTTGGCCCTATCATGCTCTCTGGTAAGTCGATTTTTCACGTAAACATCCCTGCAGACGCTACAATGTCTTCCTCGACGGGTGGCTGCCAATGGCTCCGGGTTTGACCAGCCATGCGCTCTTTCACCGGGCCCGGTGACGGAGATGTGGATACCCGGGACTGGTCCCATGATCCAATCGAACCCCTGGTTCCGGGGTGGAGCTCCTCGGACGGCCGAATGCAACGCTGGCAAACATCACCACTTTAGAAGAACGAAGGTGCTAACGTCTCCCAGATTGGTATCACAAGCAATACTTCGATCTCATCGAGGAAATCTTGCAAGTCAATGGCAGTGGCTTGGTCTTCTCTGACAACAACTTAATCAACGGCAAGGGCAACTTCAACTGCTCCACCGTTGCGACCGGAGATAACACAAAGTGCACCAACAATGCCGGTATCTCCAAGTTCAAGTTCCAGACCGGCAAGACCCACCGTCTTCGCCTCATCAACTCCGGTGCCGAGGGTACCCAGCGCTTCTCCATCGACGGACACACCCTCACCGTCATCGCTAACGACTTCGTCGAGGTCGAGCCCTATGACACGAAGGTCGTCACCCTTGGTATCGGCCAGAGAACCGACGTCCTCGTCAAGGCCAACGCCGACAACAGCAACCCAAGAGGTGCCTACTGGATGCGCAGCAACATCACCAGCTGCAGTTTGACTACTCAGCCCCTCGCTCTCGCTGCTGTCTACTACGACCTGGCCGATCAGTCCAAAGCGCCTACTAGCAGTGCCTGGAACGTTCCCGACCCCGGTACCTGCGTCAACGATGACCTCGCTCTCACCAAGCCCGTCATGAAGCTCAAGCCGGCCAATGTTCCCGTTACCAGGACCATGGAGATCAAGGTCTTCCGTAATGACTCTGGTATTGTTCAGTGGTCGCTTGGTGGCGTCGATTTCCGCGGCAACTTCAACGACCCCACCCTTCTTCAGGTCAACAAGGGTGACTTGACCTTCGACAACGACTGGAACGTCCAGAACTTTGCCAACAATGGCAGCGTCCGCATTGTCGTCAGCAACAACAGCCCTGCAGCGTAAGATCACACCCCCGACTCTTCTTCTCCAGATATCTGACTAACTTTCGCGCAGTCATCCCATGCATCTTCATGGTTTCAACATGTACATCCTTCACGAGGGTGACGGCCTGACTTGGGACGGAACCATCACCAACCCCGAGAACCCCCAGCGCCGCGACGTCCAGCAGGTTCGTGCCGGCGGCCACATGGTCATGCAGTTCGATTCCAACGAGAACCCTGGTGTCTGGCCCTTCCACTGCCACATTGCCTGGCACGCCTCCGCCGGTCTCTTCTCCCAGTTGCTGGTTCAGCCCGAGAAGGTCAAGCAGCTCCGCATTCCTTCCGCTGTCGCTGATGTCTGCAAGGACTGGTCTGCCTGGACCCAAAGGAACATCCCCGAGGTCATTGACAGCGGTCAGTAGATCTGAGCCTATTATATTCCTTTGTCTATAGTATCCATGGTGTACTGGTAGCTTCTACTTTTCTGGTTTGTGTATTATTCGATTATTGGGAGGTCTATAGATTTCAAATTCGGGCGCTTTAGTCTGTACATTACCCGGCTAGAAGAATTCAAATGAATTACATGACATGTGAAAAGCTTCTTCGATGGGTGTGAAGTGCTATCGGCATCGAAGCCGGGCTTGCGCCAGATGCCTGTGTGTCTATAACTCCAAGTGATCTACCAATCGCCTGGCGTTGTTCAATAGAGCTAGACAGCTAGGCTGTCGATCAGATGTCCCACAGAATGACTGATAGCAAGGTGGGCAGTCAGGTGCAGGGGGTGTATGATGCCATCGCCTTTGACGCTGCTCCATGAGGTCAAAAAATCCCGTAAGATACTTATTATCTTTCTGACTCTTGGCTCCAAAGATTTCCGATCTCACGATGTCTCGCATTAGTTTCCCCCATTCTGATGGCGATACCTCTACCGAGAACAGGCTTGGCGTGCTTGTGGACGACGGTTCTCCATAGGCCGATGAACCCGGTAATGCGCCGTGGATCCCGAGGCGCTTCTTCTCTCCTGCCTCTGTGGCTCTGGTCTCTTCTGTCGAGATCGATGCAAGCATCCTCTTGTACGACTCAGTGAGACAAAGACAGAGAACCCCAAGCAGAGCAGCGTTCTGTATGATTGAGAAGTACCGTCGCGGGCATCTTTGGCAGTTCAGAACTTGTAAAGCCGGCTCAAAAGTATTACGGAGCAGTGCAAAATCATCTGGTGCGACTAGGTGTTCTTTCACCCGGAGGTGCTCAAGCAAGAGGTACAGTACTGAAAGACAGGCGCAGTTATCTGTCGTTTGCTGAGTGTCTGAGGTAAGGGGAGGGAAAGCTGCGAGACCTTCGGATACGAGATCTTGACTGGGTCTGGTCTTATGGAATGAACCGTTAGCAAACTTATTGCTTCAGTAAGCTATGGGTGTTACAAGGATAGAATCATACCCTTGATTATCGTCCAAGTCAATGAGATCTGGGTGGATCGCAAAAGTCTCCGAATTGAGAGGGGAGCTGATTCGCGGGCTTGTTGGTCCGAGAAGTGCGTCAATCTCTCGTGTATTACTGTTCCCAGAGTCTGATGCAGCGTCTGTATGAATAGGGGAGAGCAACCTGGTCGAAGCATTCCGCCGGGGCAGTATTCGCTCCCGACGAATTGGTTGGGACGATTGAGGACGGACGCGACGTGATGTCGGCCTACCCATGGGCTTGTGGGGAGAGTAATAGCATTCCCGATCGGAGGCCCTGCATTTGGAGCAGATTGGACGTTCTCCTGTGCATTTGATCTTCTTTACTCCTGGGGATACACCTGACGTTAGTACATTCCGTGTCATTTCCTCGGCCAGGATCCACTACGCACGGCAAGCCTCGCATGATGCTCGAAGACCTGATCCTCCAGTGGGTAAATTTGGAGCCATTGTTCCCGAATGGAATGATGCTAAAAACTCGGATATGTATGTTTCCGGGAAGAGATATGCGGACAATGAGCTGAGGAAAGGTGAGCAATGACGACTGATATGAAAGGAACAGGAAGTCATCAGATTAAACAAAGCTACGGAGGGTTTCCAACTGATCTGTGCTAGCGGAGACTTTGGTCAATAATGATTGGTTTATAGTATCCGATTGATCCACCGCCACGGAGGGCGTTCCGTTCCCCGCTCCCGAAGTAGCATCCCGGACCCAGGGCCGATCATAGATCATCGGGCAAGCCGGGTGGAAATAGCATTGTGTTTTAAACTTGAACAAACTCCAACGTATCGCCCTATTCATGGTGCCCTTCTCGAACAAATATCATAGTGTGCATTCATACAGGAAGTTGTGCTGACTTTGCAGTTTCATTCTAACTATTATCGATTGCAGTGGTGAGATCGTTATCGGTATCTTTTACAGTCCGCCGGGCTCTTATATGAAGAAGCCATGTTGTTACAAATTACTCCAGGCAGCTACTAGATACCTAGACTTAGGATCTTGAAACTCAGAATGCCATGCTCCAATTGACTTCCTGGCAGTGATTACGCCCTCAATTCAGGTCTTCGCAAGATTTCTGACACGCCCTCACGGAACAGCAGCATTGCGTAAAAGCTGTGGAACTGCAATAGGAGGCCGGACAGTTGTTGATTTCGAGTCGGGTTGCAAGCTGTTGATTCATACACGACTCTGACTCTTGCTGGATTCTCAGACTCTCGGATAATGCTGAACCGATGGGAGCCTGCAAACTGGCTGTTGTCTTTCCCGAAGACAAAGTCGACGCTACTTTCTGTTTCCGGCTCCGCTTGAGGATCTTTGGGATCGGTGAGCTTGATATGGCTGGCTTGGAACGTGCCAAAGACCACTGAGTGCACTGGTGGAAGTTTCTCGCATGATAGATTTTGAGATTGCCATATCTGATTTGACGCTGAAATCGGGTCGAGATCTATCATCGGGTTAAAAGCCTGGCCACTCCAGTAGGATCGGTTACCGGATTGGCGACTCACCAGCGTATGACACCAGACTCGGACGTGCCATCTGCAGCAGACGCCTCTCATAAGCCAATACCTTCCCCGCAAAAAACCCACGGACGAAAGTGGCCAACAAAACCTCGTCGCTTAGATCTCTTGCGCTCTCAGGCAAATCCAGATCCACAGATAGCTTGTCTGCTGATGAGACACGTCCTCTGGGATTTACCAGAGTCTTGAGAGTGTGCGATTGTTTGAAATTCTCCGAAAGGTCACTAACAGAGACGGCCCGTCGCGTATCCACAGCCCTTATGCTCGTGTAAACTTCCCAACCGTGCTTCACAAGTAAGGCGCATGGGATCGCTGCTGCGAGGGCGAGGGCGTGACGCCCGCCAATGTATCGCAGACCAAGGGCCATCTGTCGAAGGCGAGATTACAATAATGAGGTAGAATTCCGGAATTGAATAGCTTTTCCAGGCCAATTCGTGAACATACACTATTGATGTCACCTCGAGTATGGGCATGCATTTAAGTATGGCAAATGTTCAGAAGCTGACTTGTCAGACGAAAACAGCCCGCGATCGGTTCCCGCCGACTTTACCCGCGCCCAATTCTCAGCCCTGGATGCTAACGCCATCTAGCCTAACTGCGCTTTTTGGCGAGCAAAAGCCCTGAATTGTTGATCCTTAAGTATGTAAATGGTCAGACCATCTTGTTCAAAACCGGTCACCTGCTTATCCATCTATCATTAGCATCTATCATTAGATGACTCAACCTGCCTCATGTAGCCTTTCTGGGCTCTGGATTGTCTTGCAGGGCGTAGGTTGTTGATGCTAGTGTCGTCCCCCACTATGTTTCGTGCTGGAGACAGAAACCTCAAGACGCACTGGTGACCAGCATGGACTTCCGAGCCCGAGACTGCCGTGATTTTCATCGTCCTACGGGAATGGACATATTGTTCATCGGCCAACATGGATGCAATGGAGAACTTCCTTGGCTTATTGCATTGGCCTAGCAAAAGCAGGTAGTGCCCTGGTAGCCCGTCCAGCCACTTTCTTACTCCGCATTGCTCAACACGGAGCCCAGAACTTTGGCGCAGTTCTAGCAGGGACCTTTCGCTGTCAACATGGCGGTTAAGGTCTCACCCGCCAGCGGCAGCTTACACGTCCACACTGTTGAAGCTTCTCGGCGCGGGGCTCACACTTGTGTGCCATCTACAATGTTGACAACGATTGTAGACACTTTGTTTTTTATAAGTAAACTGTGTTCATCTAATATACAGCTTTCTTGCAAGGTATTATATCTCATCATAACATACTTACAGCGCATTTACCTCAGCCACAATGGCACCAACAGACGAGAAAACCCTCCACCTGGTAGGCATCGGCGTAGGCCACTCAATTGCGCCCCCAATGCACAATGCCATCGCGAAATCCCTCTCCCTCCCCTGGACCTTCCACGCCACCGAGTGCGACACAATCGAAGACCTCCTCCTTCTGGCGCGCAAAGACTCAACAGCAGGCCTCGTCGTCACGATGCCCTACAAAAACACAGTCATGCCCCGCCTCGACGCCATAGACCCCCTCGCCACCACCATCGGCGCCTGCAACAACGTCTACCGCGATCCCTCAGACCCGGTGCGACTGAGGGGTACGAATACGGATTGGCTGGGTGTGAAGGGATGTCTTCTCGAAAAGGGGAATGAGCGAGGCCCGGTAGAAGGGAAACCTGCGTTAATTGTGGGTGCTGGTGGGGCAAGTCGTGCTGCAGTGTATGCTCTGCATACCTACTTCAAGGCCTCTGTAATCTACGTCCTGAACAGAGATGATGGAGAAGTATCCGATCTCCAGCGCGATACTCAACGCCTGGACCCCGTCCCCAAGATTGTTCACGTCAAAGAAGGGGAGTCGAAGACGCTGGAGACACCGTACTACGTGGTTGGAACGGTACCCGATTTCGAGCCCACGTCGGCGTCTGAGTTAGCGGTAAGAGCATCGCTAGAGGACTTCCTTTCACGGCCGGAGAAGGGGGTCTTGTTGGATATGTGCTTCAAGCCGCGGCGGACGAGGATGATTAAGCTAGCGGAGAGTCATGGGTGGCCTTCGGTGGAGGGGACGCATGTTATTGGCTACCAGATCGAGGAGCAGTGGAAGCTTTGGGCTGGAGAGGAGAGGGTGAAGAAGTTGGATAAGGATGCAGCGTGGAGGGTGCTATTGGAGGCAGCTGATAACAGCCCAGGGATCAACTTCTGAGCAAATCGATGTTTTGAGATATTGAGAATCAGGATGGAACACCTATCGATCAACAGTGACATGCTTGTGGAACAGCCTGCTAATTACGGGCAGCCTCAATTCAGACGTAGCCGCTGTACGAGCTTCTTCCAGGCCTTAATGCCTCTCCGCGCATGCTCTTCAGGCACCTCTTTATGCTCTTCCGCCATCGTTCTCGAGAATAATTCCATCGATACCCACCCCTTATAGCCAAGTCCCTCAATCAGCGTCCGAGCAACCTCCTCAACTGGCAAGTAAGCCCCACGATCCGTCTCATACATGTACGTTCTCGCATTTCGAGACCACATCATCCGCGAGGGATGTCCATCTACGTGGAAAGGGTGGCCTTCTACAAGAGGCTGTTCCATACGCTCGGCATCAACAACCTGGATGTAAAACACCTTTTCCAAGTCGACGCTCTGCACCAATCTCTCCATCGATGCCTTCAAGTCTGCATCTGCGTTGGGGGTCTTCCCGGAGGGAGATGCCGGATCACCCCAGACGCGGCCGGCGATGTTGAAGGTGTCGAGGCAGAGGCCGAAGTTGGGACGGTCGACACGCGTGGCAACCTCCCAGGACTTCTCCCACGTGTCAACATGCGTGCTCCAGCACAAACTCTCATACGCAAATCGAATTGGCGGGTCTTCTTTGAGCCCCAGGTCTGCGAGCTCGACTAAATCGGCAACGATGACATCCATGTCACCAGTAAGCTGGTCGGCGGGGAGGAAGTTTGCGGGGATCTGGATCGTGTTGGTCCCCAAGGTCTTGGCTAGCTTGAACCACAGCTTGATCTTCTCGATGAGTCGGGCATGTTGATCCCTGTCCAAAAGACCCTCGTAGAATAGGAATGGCTGTAGACCAATAATTGTTATCTTTAGTTCATCGAGGACATTATGGATATGCGATGCGGCGGAAAGGAGGTGGTCAGGGGTAGGCTGATCGACACCAGAGAGCTTTTTGGCGACGTATTCGAGGTCCTCGTAGAAGATCTCGATGCCTTCGAAGCCGTACTTTGCTGCCTCGGCGGCCTTCTTATCAAAGTCATGGGCCCAGGCGCGACCGAGAGACGCAGAGAGTACGGCGGGTCGGAAAACAGTCATGGTTGGACGTGGCGACGGTGAGTGGTGTGATTTGAGGCGAGATGTTGGGTATTATCGCGGTAAACAAGGCCCCCAGCAAGACAATATGCATTTCAGACTGTTGGTTTGATCCTAAATGATCAATCATCCGTCAATGCCATTGACCCCGCACTTCACCCAAAGTTAGTAAGCTGTGCTAGACCCGGGTGATGTCAAAGATGGCAGTTCAAGAAGGCGGCTAAGCGTAGTTCCGGTCTGTACCATTGGTTTCTACTGCGAATCTCGCAGCCCCGAAGGAATTGATCGGTTTGGTTCAAGATGATACTTCACCCGGGGTCTTGGTCAAAGAATGACTGAATATCTGTCGCCATGTCGCCTACAACTCCGAGATGCCGCATGAACTCTGGTGGATTTGCCGACCTATTTCCATGTGTTAGATACCGAGTTAAAGATGGCACCCAAGGTCTTCAAATATTTACCAGTCAGCTGAGTCGAGATCAGCGAGACTCATGAAGAGTTCACCGCCAACGTTCTCCGTCGCAGTGTCCATCAGTTGACTGAAGCTTACTTGCGCTTCGGGCTGAAACTGCCGAAGGTCCGGTTGATGCACTGGCATGGAATCTGCCATGGTTTCCATGGCCGCTGGCTCGCTTTGGGCGATTTCACTGTGAGACGTTGTAGAGGGACTGTGTCTCTGAGAAACCCTCTTTCTAGCATCAGTCAGGGCAGTCTTTAGGGACTGCAAACTCCCAGGAGATCTTGGGAGTCCCTGCGTGATATTCTTTTGGTAGTCGTAAGCGACTTCGAGTCTAGTAAGGAAGACTATTGATGTCGGAGGTATGCGAAATGTCTTGGTGGTGTCGAGAAGTTGAAGAAGAGCTTGCTCCTGAACAAGCGTTTCCGTGGATCCCCTGCTCGGCACTCCATGTTGTGTACCCTTGAGGCGTTGCATTCGTGTCGTCAGAGTCTCGGAAATACTGGCATAAGCAAGACGGAGATTCGTATCCTGGGGGGTAGTCGCGACACCATGCCGATTTTCGGAGTCTGGCCAGTGATGCTTCCCCCATTCTTCAAATTCCTTCATAATGTGATGACAGCGGCTAATGTTGTCGCTTCTCATCTCGAGTCTCACAACGTCGTTCAAAATGCAAACAAGGAGGAAGAAGGAATTGAACGTGCTCAATACCAGTCCTGGTCTGTGGCTCGACGGCAGCGTCTGGTTATCCAAATCCTTCGAATGCCATGGCTCCCATTCTTCCATGGACTCTGTGGCAAGTAATCCAAAGCTCTGTGCGTCTGAGGAGTCGAGATAGGGCCGTGACTTTGTCAAGCTCGCGATGAGCGTGTCAAGGATAAAAACACACATAAGCGTTCGCCGTGTGCCCTCCTCTTTGTGCGAGGACCCGTCTGTAATTACAGGAAGAAGTGACATGGCAACCGAATATGTAGCTTGACCGATTGCGAGCCACGCAGCTCCACTGTCTTCCTGCTCTAGTCTGATGAGTGCGACGATGAGCAGAGCTCTTATGTGACCGATTTCGTACTTTCCGTTGTCTTCAGCCAGAGCATCTGTCGCCGACTCAAGGAAGACCTTTGAAACCTCCAAAGATCCCGACTGGCGCGAAGAATAGGCCATGACTGTCCAGAGAAAGCAAAGATCTCCGCTGTCGATAGCGTTCGATATGTTGGCATCCTTATCGTTATTGGCTTTCAAGTAAACCAATCGCAAAAGATCGTGTTTCTGCACCATGGGTAGCCACGAATGCGTGTTGGAGAAGTACACATCCAGCAGTTGTGCCCAATTCGGAGGTATTTGCGGCGGGCATGCATGGTGTTGTGGTATTGGGACCGGTGGTATGGTCAAGGCATTCTCAGGGAAAGTTGGTTGAAGCGAATAGAGTGACAGAGCCGAATTGACGTCTTGCTTCGCCAGAGTGATAGTTCCGGCCGGTGAGTAATCGGGTTGGCTGACGTCGGTGTATGTGGGAGTTACCATGTCTAGCTCATTGTCAACAATCGAGACCTGGTCCGCCGAGATTTTGGCTGCGAGCTTGATGGCCTCTCTGATGCCTGACTCGAACTTCTTGAAGGATTCGCCGTCTTCGAGGCTTTCTGAAGGTTCATCGACAGAGAGAAGTCTCTCCACTATCTTCGAGCTTGTGCTCGTCCTCCAAGACTCCGCCAGGGTATCGGTGACATCCGTGTTGGAGGAAACCACCAGACTCAAATCCCGTAACCCAAACTTAGGCCGTCGGTCTTCACCATCGAGTACCGCAGCCAGCCATTCATCAGCATCGTCGATGGTGCTGACTATCATGCCAAGCAGTAGCTCGAGAGCTCGTACGTATCCGGTGCGTAGCCCACGTTTCTTCGCAGGCCCATAGCTACAGCTACGACCGATGCTCAGGCATGAATTGCACGAGGGTCGGATCCCATCGCATCGGTCTTTGCGTCTTCGACATTCGTTGCAGGCTCGGGTAACGCGCAGTCTAACTTTTCCTCGGGCCGTTCTTCCTTCATCGGATTCTTCTGTAACATCGGTCTTGGTCTTTTTCGTTCGTCGCGGGGTCGTTGGTGATTGGCCGTCATCGTCCTTGCCCCTAGATTGTCGTTTGGATGGGCAAGAGGCCATCTTGCCAGCCTACACAGTGTGACTGGAAACAGAACTGTAGCAACATTGAATCTTTAATTCAATGGAGAGAGTCATCAAAACTACTTTCGACAATCCAGGTAAATTCCTCGCGGCGTTTTGCAACGTCCAAAGTGAGAGAAGGCACACGGGCAGAATGCGTGGTCATAGCCCCACTAGCTGTATGTACTTACCAGGTAAATGCGTCAGTGGAGGTATGCAATACAGCAATAAGCTGCCGGGCTGTCTTGCAACCGAATCTCCCATTGCGTGCATAGAACAAACGCGAAACGACTGACGTTTATCTTATAATTTTCTAGTTAGTACGCTCAAGACTGATTTATGAACGATACGAAACTTATTACAGTGCCCTAGGCAGGGAGATACTCAGCCATGTGTGAAGTGTTTTGCAACGTTTCTGGCGACCACTATAGGCGATATTCTAACATGCAGCATACGTGGGTGTCCGATCTGAGGCGGCTAAGATCTTTGCCGCCAAGATTGCACACTTCGGCAACCAAATTGATCTCACTGGTCGCTGCAATTTCCAGAATCCTGAGTTGTCGTGGTTTTTAAGCCGAGGTGAGCATATGAGCATATGGATAGGACTAAGCAAAACATTACATACTTCCTCCTGCCAATACGGGGAGAGCAATGACAGATAGCGCTTCCATACCCCACCGGCCGCGATGTGGGAGCCTTTGAGATGAGAGACATCCGGAGAGCGGAATTACGACAAGTTCAAATTCATTCGAGCTATAACGAAAAATAAAGAATGAAACTATTCGGACCCGTTTCAGCCACGGATCGCATTTTCCATCTAATTCCCTTTCTCTTCTGCGTTCCAAGAGTCATTTCTCCACGCTGCTGATTGCGCCCGCTCACCCTCATTGCGGTCCTTAATGCTGTCCAGATAGGACCGGAAGAACTTATTCATTGCCATCACATCTTTGAAGTGCTCAGCCTCCACAATGATCTCCTGTGTATGGTCGTAGTCCGAGGCGTTCTTAGCCTCGTACTCGGCAAGCGCGATAGCCGTTTGAAAGGCGTTGCGAATCTCACGACCGTTCCAGTCCGTGTACTCAAGCACCTCGGGTGTCTTCAGAAACTTCTTGGCACCATTGCTGATGCGAATTGCTCCCTTTTGCTCGCGATTGAGCTTCATAAGAAGACTATCCCAAATCTTTGCACGTCGTTCACCATCAAGCTGATCGAAGCCGATGACAGCGTGGACACGAGACATGAAGGCATCATCGATGTGGCCAACCCTATTGGTCGTGAGAAATAGAAGACCTCCAAACTACTCAATCTTCCGTAGAAAAGCTCTTGCATATTCGCAGTCAGTATGGATCACACTTGAGCACTGCCCCCGCGATATCAATATACCTGAGACGACTGCATTGCGTTCAATGTCCTTCTTCTCACGCCGCTCGAGGAAGACGTCACATTCGTCTATGAGCAGGATAGCACGCCATTTGTCGGCCCCATCCTGAACCATCTGGTCAGTTCCTCTTCCACAGACGCTTCCTGGGTGCGCAGATCTGATATCGTAAGACTGATCAATGGCTGGTTTTTTCGCATGGCAATGGATTCTAATCTGATCAGAAGTGCAACATAGCCATCCGCAAGGACTCACACATACCAACTGTGTAAGTCTTTCCCACACCAGGAGGCCCTGAGAACAGCCATTAGCAATCTAAACTGATCTCACACTATGATTAACGTCTGTACTTACCGTGAAGAAGGATGACGACTCCTTCACCCTTGTTCCTGATATAGTCTGCTGACCAGGGCTTCGAAGTCATTTGGCGTTCAGCTAAAGCCTTGATGATCTTCAGCTTTTCACCACTAACGATCGGTTCAGGGACTTCTTCCTGTGCCAGGCTTTGGATGTTCCCCACATGTGCCGAGACTGTTCGCTGTTAGCAAATTGTTTACGGGCTACTCGGGTGAGGCAGTGTTTGGTACCCCAAGTCTTCGCTGGAAGAGTGAAGCCAGCTACAACTGGGCAAATAATGAATTTGTGAGCTGCTGTTATTGCATCTCTTGAATCCTTCGTGGGATCAAGCCATAGGGGCTGCAATACACCTGAAGGGTCATTTGCAGACCTAGCCTGGTCTAAAGGTTCTGGGAACATATCAAACCCCCATTCATCCTCATCGAAATCCGGGGCCTGATCAACAAATGCACTGAGAATGATCTGTCCCTTGTACTACTTTGGGGTTAATCTTTCGTTAGTTTACGATGAGTAATGACGTACCTTAATCTTCTTTTTGCTCATCAACTCGCCATCGTAATGAGCATATTCGTGCCCCTTCCAGAGCATGTCACAGATCCGGTTACCACGAATCTCGAAATCCTTCTTCCGCTCGCCTTTGAAAAACTTCTCTGGAAAGATATCAAGCTGTCCTACCTTCTTCTCGCCTTCGAACTTGTGGATGTCGATGGTATTATACACAGTAATCAGGGTTCCGTAGGTCCAATGCATCGATAGGAACCATATTTTTACTTTCCATCGTTCTGGGAGGTTGTCATCTGCGTCCGGGGGGCATTTCCTGGTTTCCTCGACGACGCATCCTATCCACTGGCCATCCCACTTGCAATAATTCTGGGAGCCAGGTCGTAGCAAATACCATAGCTCGTCCCAAGTAGTTGTGGGCGAGTCTTGCCCCAGCCGTCTTTGCATTGGTTCGAGCTGGCTTTTAACGATTGGATTCAGATATTCGATCAACACGCCCAAGTGCTCAACTTTAGTTGCGCGATCCATTGTGGTTGACTCCATGGGATCCTCACGAGAGGCATAAATTCGGCTTAATGTCTCCCAGTGGTGCAGCAGAACTCCGTAAGGTTCGTGAATTGTGATGGTCTCTCCGGTCAGGTTCTGCCCCGGATAGTAGTCGACAGTATCGCGAATCAGCTCGGACAAGTACGGGAAATGGATGATGATACGTGGACTTCCGATTCCTCGTATAACTTTATTGGCCAATGTTTCCTTCTTAATGTTGCCTTTCTCGTCATTCTTTTCGTTAGATGGCTTCAAGTTGCTCGTGAGCGCAACGTTCATGATGGTGACGACCTCAACGATAGGCTTAGCTGTCTCGTCGTGGCGAGGAACCTGGGATGGGAATGGCTCATCCTGAGAATAGTCAAAGTTTTTACCGTTATGGTTGTAACAGGACGCCGTGTAACGTATTCTTGATGGCTTCCGAAGAGGTTCGGTCTCATGAACCATGTCTTGGGGAGGACTGTCCTTGTTCTCTGTCGTATCAGACTCTGGTAGACCTGTCTTTCCTGATGCTGGATCGTTCACAGGCGAGTTCTGCGTAGGCATCGCTGCGTAGGAATTCAGGACGGTCGCTATTGCAGATAGTTTGGGATAGGGGATGACGTCTTAGAAAATGTATCCACGTAGTAGGAAGAGCTGCCAATCACAGGAAGAGGGGGGCGCCGAAGCAATATCTTAACCCAGACAACACTCTTTGTATCGTTGTGATCCCCGGGACAGTGGTACTCTATATCCCTGCGATATCACCTGTCTCCGTTCCCAATCCAAGCTTCAAGAGGATGGTCTTCGAGACACCGAGAGCAACAATCTTACGCTACCAGCAGCCCACCAACGGCAAGTGAAAGTCATTGTAGACGCACATGAGATTTGGCCGAATATTTCGGGTTATCTCATTGGCTTAGTTCAGGACTTCCACACTGACTGGCTGCGGGGACGGCTGCCGATATACTCTTTTAGGATAATTCCAGAAAAAGCCAGTGCCAGCCTGCCTCGACAAAGTCAACAATCGCTGTCAACCATTGGCTCCTTGCACTCACTGGTTGCTGATACATTGGCATGAGCGGCAAATTTCGAGCAGGCTCGCTGCGCTAGTTACGCTTACTGCAGGGCGCATATTGGTCTGCTGAGGAGAGGTTCTGTGTCTTTGCAAATGATAGGCTCCTGGACCTTGCCGATGTCTAATCGAGTGAAAGGTGGTCGCGCCACGGACAAGCAGGTAGCGTCGTGGAGGCCGAGGCTGGTCCTTTGCCTACACAGATAGGTACTTACTTAGTACAAATAGTATGCCCCGAAAACCGATGTGAGGCTCCGGGGCCTATTGGTTCTTGACATAAACACCATTGGTGCGGTTGATTGCTAATGCTTATCAATATATGCGAGTCACATTCATACTGTCAAGTATTAGTATGTTTTATTACCATTTAGCACTTTAAGCCATCAGACCGGTTTGAGAGACAATATTCTAAGAGCATTTTGCTCTTGAGATTAAACCGCATGAGGACTCAGCCTGATTTATTTTTAGCATATCGATATCGATAGCAATACCAGTACCAGTTGCATAACCCTCTTGTACGACTTCTGGCTGGCTTCTGATTATTCGTTGGCAAGTAACAGGCGTCGTTTCTTCTTTACGACGACCCAAATTCTCCGCCAGTCCCTCATGCTCAACTTCTTCGCCTAGAACTTGAGCAGAAGGAAGTCAATTTCGCTGTGGCCTGCCATGAGATCTCAGAGCGCCAAGGCAGTAGAGCCTGCTCTGCAGATTGTGCGTCTGTACACTGACCAGATGCAGCAAGAGGGCACTCATGGCAACTTAGGGTAAGAACACGAAAACCCCAGCGGTCGTTTTCTGAAATTGATTCTTTGCGATTGTAGGCAAGCCCTTGTTACAAAGGTAGACTTAGAGAGACGAGAGGAAGCTCTGGGCAGAACCACTTCTGAGGTTTCAGCCCTAGAGTCATTTGAAATATACCAAGACACGGTTTTAGGGTATGGTTGATCTTAAACCATTTGCTACTTGCACTTGCTTTGTTTTGACGGTACTATGGACAGAGACATCGACTTGCATGAGACTGCCCTCTTGGCCGACATATCTCGGGAGCTAGAGATACAATGGCCAAAGGTCGTCAAGTCTTTACCGAAAAGTGAGAGGGATAGCATTCCCCCCAAACCTGATATTCGAACCCTTGCTAGGCTTTTTAGTCAAGCACAGGTCAAGCTCAATGCGAAATCGAGCTCAAGGTCTGGCAAGATCAAATCTTCGTTCGTGGGAGTGGCGAAATCTATCAACAACCACAAGTATTTGCTCAGACTTCTACCTGAAGGGGACAAATACACCTCAGTCTTGGTTGGCTCTTTCACAGTGCTCATTCAGGTATGTTCTTGTTAATCTTTCCGAAATCCGGGCTGCACTTGTTCGATTACACGGAAGTCATCTTCGGTTACTAATGCATGGAAGGTCGCGGTGACGTATAATGACACAACAGAAAAGATATCTGACTGCCTAGAACGTCTTTCAGGCCAAGTTCCGCTCCTCGGAGAGGCTCTCAGGACAAATTCCTGTCACCCGTTCATCAAGCGGCAAGTCAGCAAGTACTATTGTCACTTATTCCGATTTCTGGCACATCTCTTGACAGAATGGCTTTCATGCTCCTCCCTGCAGCGTTTCTTGAAGAGTTTCGGAGACAGCATTATAAGCGCCTGCGATACAGCAGTTAGGAAGATGACAGCGTGCAAAGATAATATCATGCATAGCATTATTCTCATTCAGCAGAGTGTAATCGAGGACATGAATGCAAAGCTTGATCGACTCGGAATTCTTGTCCAGGCCAGCTTGGTTGGCGCTGCTGTCGATCGATCCAGACTATGCGACGCTCCAAGGGTTTCTTCGCTAACCGAGGCGGCGTCATCCAAGACTTTACCACAAAGTCACAATACTGACGCAAAATCTGGAAACAAAGAAGTCAACACGTCTGAAGGCTCTGGCCAGGAGAAAGTTGAGCCGGAGCTACTTGAGGATGAACTTGGCGAGGAGAACGAGCTCTGGACATTGGAAACAATGCAGGGGTCCCTGAAGCACTTGGAGACATTCCGTCAGGTTGCCCACATTGCCCATCTGACTTCTCCGCTGAAGCAAGTGTTCGTGAGTGCAGAGATGCGGGCTTATCTGGTGAAGATGGTCTCCTCGATGCGGTCGGCAGCTCTCTGGATTGAAGGGCCTGGTAAGTGACGACCTTTTTTTACGACCTGAGAAGAGTTCTCTAACTGATTCTCATCGACGTTAAGACGACGACGAATCGCCGTCACATGCGACTTTGCTAGCAGCCCAAATGATTCACGATCTCAGTCGGCTGAATATCCCCACGCTCTTTCACTTTGTCCACCGACCTAAAAACGCATCTTTGAACCGCGAGCGCGCGCTCTTGGAGATGGTATACTCTCTAGTGTACCAGATATCCCGGGCACTCCCTGAGCATGCGCACTTCGAGACAGGTGTAATCGAAAAAGTCAAATCGCTACCTGCGGCCCCGCAGACTCACTCCGAGGTGACCTGCAGCTTAGCTCCAGCGGTGAACCTTTTCGAGTCCCTATTGGAAAATCTTCCTCCGCTGTTGTTCTGCGTGGTCGACGGGTCTCAGCTTCTCGTGAAAGAGTCGAACTCTCCGGAGATGAAAGCAGCCACCAAGCAATTCGTCGCTTGTATCTGCGAGGCAGCAACGCGCCAGCTCACAGGTCAGCCGTCGATTTTCAAATCGCTTTGGACCACGGATGGGCCCTGCAGGGACTTACAGCAAGCTAGGAAGAGCCGCGTTCTGGCACATTTGGGATACGAGGATGACGAGGAATTTGAGTCAATGGCTCTTCGTGGTAGAGAGATGTCGCCACTGACAGAGTAGCAACTTTTCATTCTGGCTAAATCTGGGTCCAATGGATGGGAGGTGGTTTAACATATTTATTCGATCGAACTTAATTATGCCTTGGGCTTGATATTCTTAACGGCATGATCAATCGCGTACCCATATCCATGAATTCCCAATCCCATGATAACCGCCACTGCCTTGTCGCTCAAATAGCTGTGATGCCTGAAGCTCTCTCTCGCGTGTGTGTTGCTAATGTGCAGCTCGATGAAGGGGATATCGACGCCCAGCAGCGCGTCGCGGATGGCGACGCTCGTGTGTGTGTAGGCGGCCGGGTTGATGATGATGACGTCGACGTTGCCTCGCGCCGCGTGTATGCGCTCAACGATGGCGCCCTCGGTGTTGGATTGGAAGGATTGCAGGTCTGCGCCGAGGGACTTGGCGTGTTCTTTTGATTGTGTCTCGAGCTGGGAGAGCGTGGTTGAGCCGTAGATGTGCGGTTCGCGGGTGCCGAGGAGGTTCAGGTTGGGGCCGTTGATGAGAAGGATTGACTTTGCCATTGTGATTGCTGTTCTGGACTGTTCGCGGTGTTTTCAGAGGTTTGTTCGTGTGGATTGTAGAACAGGTGGAGCAAGCTTTGTAGGACGATTTCGTAGGCCAATTGATGATGTGCAGGTGAGATCTCGGATTCGAACGTACTTCTAGATGCAGGATCCAAAGATTTCAAGTAGGGAGCTGGAAATAGAAACTGGTTAAACACTTTCCCCAGGTTCCCCTCAAATCATCTCCGCGTGAACCGAGTCAAGCCCAAATCGCTCCGTGAATCGGTGCGGGGAAACAAGATGCGGGACCCCCGCGCCCCCGCCATCCCAACGCGGCAAAGTTTTCATCCGTTCGGCCTCTCATCAACGCCCCGAGATGGCACAGCCGGATAATGTGCCGAATAGCGAAGGGCTCACTAATACAATGGCCTCGTCATTGGCTTAGTCACTTACATGATGTCTTTTCCGGCATATGAGGTCTGCATCGCGGTACATGTCTATCATTGAGCCAAATCCTTTCAACATGGAGGAAACGATAATCACTAGACAAATTACTTGTTGAAAACATGCCTGATTTACACAGTCTTCCTTCAGGGTCTCGTCCCATCAACGCCATCCGCAACAATGGGCCAGATCATTTGGTCCTGGAAAGATTGAAGTTGAGAGAGTTGGCAGAAGGATGGCCGTCTTACAGGTAAAAACCACTACTTGAGATCGTGGTCAAATGAGAATCACTTTGGCAGGTTGTACCTAATCAATATTGATCTCCAGGGACGCCTGCGAATGGGAAAACTTCGAGTCCATCTTCCACGCAGGAGCCTACGTCTACACGACGTGGTCAGGCCGCGTCCCCTTCACAGACTTCATCGCAGCTTCCAAAGCAGGGATGGACAAGGGCGCCTTCATCATGCATCGCTGCCACGGCTGCAGCACAGATATCAACGCCGAGGGTACCAGGGCCGTGACCAAGCTCAAAGCGACAATCACACAACGCTTCGAGATTGACGGCGTCGAGTTTGATGTGGAAGCAGACTGCCGCTTCTGTTTCTACTTCGAAAAAGTGGGCGACCGTTGGGGAGCGCGTCTGGTCCGGCATTGGTACGAGAAGGATAAGGTGATTCCGTGCAACCCGGCCAAGTTCCCCGAGATTGATGAGGGAAAGTTGGCCGCGTTTCCTCCTGGGTACAGGTATCTTGCGTATTTCCAGGAGCTCACTATGGGGGTTAAAGTTCTATTGGATATGCCTGGGCATCGCCGTCATGTTGAAACGGTGAACCTGGAAAAGCATGACTTGCTTTACTGGCAGGCTAAGGATTGGCTTGAAGGAAAGGCCATAGACGTGTAGTGGAAGAAAAATGACATGATCATAATCTAAAAAAAGCTTTCTGATTTTTCTCTCATGATTCCAGTCTTCAGCCTCTAGATACGTCGGAGAATTGGTGATCAAATGTTTTGCGCCCAAGTAGCGCTACATACGCATTTCTATGACCATACGCTCGTAGAATCTCATGGCCTTCTACCTTGATAGGAGACTAAGTTGAGGATTGAACATCAGATTGATCACCTTTGTGGACTTGGACTCTATCTACGGCGTATAATTCTATCCTCTCTCCTTGATCTTAGCCTGCATAGCAGCCCTCATCACCTCGACAGGTGCCTCCTTCCCAGTCCACAACTCGAACTGGGCATAAGCTTGTTCCTCCAGTACATCAATACCCCTGGACATTGTCCAGCCCGGATACCGTGATGCCCTCTTCATCATACCAGTAACCTGCGGTCTATATGCCATCTCAACCAAAACTCCCTTCTCAGCAGCAAACAGCCCTGCAGGTATCTTCTCCTCGCCAAGGTCATCCGCGGGAACACAGGCGACAATAACTCTCAAAGGAAGTCTGTCCAAGCCCTCTCGCTCCCTTTCAGCAGATACGGCGTCTTCTAAGGTTTCAAATACCTGGCAGTCGAGAGCAGGGAACTGTTCCGCCATCTCGGCCGCCTTCGATATCGTCCGGTTCACCACAAGCAGCTGCGTGATCCCCAACTCCTGGATCGCATAGCAAGCAGCGCGAGCCGCCCCACCAGCACCCAGAACCAACGCAGTTGAAGAGCGAAGATCTGATATCCCGCTGCGCTCGATGCACCTCCTTATTCCATGCCAGTCTGTATTATCGCCCACAAGCCTCCTCCGTCCCTTCTCCGAGCCTTCGTCGACGATGACAGTATTCACAGCCCCAATCTTTTGCGCGCAGGGAGTGACTGCATCTAGGAGTTTACCGATCTGTAGTTTGTGCGGGAATGTGACTGATGCGCCGCCAAAGTCATCGGCTTTGATGATCGTCTTCACTGAGGCATCGACGCTCTCAGTCTGGTGAATGTGGTAATGGTGTGAGAGGGCGAGTTCTCGGAAGCCCGTGTTGTGGAGGGTTGGAGAGAGGGTGTGGGAGATGTTGTGCCCGAAGATGAAGAAGTTCATCTTCGGGGTGGAGGGGTTTGCTTCCATGGACCCCATATCCTCTGACAGCCCCTGTTTTGTCGACGACTCAGATTTACTACTTCGAGGTCTGAGTTAGAGGTGCGGAAAGACTAGGAGGCAATAGGCTTCGTGGGAGGTTTCCGTTCGATGTGTCCTGAGCTGGCACAAAAGTATCGATGCTATCCTCAGTAAACCTGCGTTATGATGTGAGTATGAATTGGCAATTATACCAAAGCGTCATGATCTCGGCCGTCTTTCGGTCTCATCGGTCAGCAGCTTGGCATGTGTCTTGACAGGACGGTAAAGGTCTTTACCGCTACCGGAAAGCTACCGACTACATGCACTATTTGTGGGTAGCTATCCCTAAGAGGGACCTTACCCAGGCACTCCTTAACTGGCGATAGAATTTAACAAATGGACAATTACATCAACTGCTCATAATCAATAGGGCGCCTCCGAAACATGGGATGGTGGTGAAGAAAATATCATCATTGAAACGCTACGCTCGTATGAATGCTAACTTTGCCAAGATTCCTACCCTCTCGTCGGCATCTTCCCCCCTTCGGCGAGCCTTTCCTTGTATGCACGCGAAATCAACTCCCGCATCATCTCAATCGGAGGTTTACGTGCAGTGAAGAGCTCAAATTGCCTCTTACCCTGTTCCGGCAGAACACTTAGGCCGTCGACGGCGATCCACCCTTGGTCGCTCATGCCGCGGATCTGCTTCAGGAGGGGTGTTTCCAGAGGCGTGTACGATAGCTACGAGTGCATGTTAGCAGTGGGATATCACTCCATCCGTCTACGAATCATCGAGCTTACCTCAATGGCTACTCCGCCTGTAGGACTAGCCAGCCACCCAGCAGGCAGACTCGTATCAGCCGACGACTCCCCGTTGATCTCGCGCGTGGAAATACACGATACGACAATAGTGGGAAAGTCAGCGTCGTCGGGCCACTTGTCGTCTTTGGACTCTATAACACGAATCGTGGGACTGTTTGGAGCAGTATCGACTTTCTCCGAGGCGTTAACCTCGGTTGGCGTCGATGCCCCGTCGCTCGTGAATCGGTACCCATTGAAATGCCGTACCACTTCCTCAGCCGTCCTTGTCGTCCGGTTGTGTATAAGCACGGTGCGAACACCGAGTCTCAGGAGCCCGTATATCGCCGCACGCGCCATACCTCCAGCCCCCACGACTAGCGCCGTCGTCCTCCTCTTGACGCCGTTGATGGGAGACAAGTTATGCCGGATACAGGTGTGTATCCCAATCCAGTCCGTGTTATCGCCATACAGGGCAACGACTGGACCGGCTCTATTGCGATCAAGCAGAGACTCGATGTTCCGCGAGCGCAGTGGCACCAGCGTATTAACGGCGCCAATGGCTCGGGCTTCTGGACTCGTGAAGTCGACAATGGCAAAGACTTCCTTCTTGAAAGGGGCCGTGATACTCGCGCCCCCAAAGTTCTCGTCGGATATGAGCTTACGCAGGTGGTTTAGGGTAGGCTGGTGAAAGATCTTGTATTCGTGCGGCATACCGCAGAACTTGAAGGCGGGGTTATGCATGCACGGCGACAAACTTGTGGATGCGTTGGTGCCGTAGATGCCAAAGTACATCGGGTCTAGGAGAAAGGAAGAGTAGAGCGCCTTTTGCGCCTCGTGGATCGTCAAGAGGCAATGGGGCGAGCCGCCGGGTGCCAGTCTCCGGAGCAAGTTCATGGTGACTGGCGTGAAGGTCGGGTTCATAAAGCAGGACATGCGGCCAAGGCGGCCTGTGTTGTACGCGATGAGCGGGATCGTTACATCTCTGGGCTTGCCGGCGCCATGCTTGAAGTGCTGGATCTCGAAATTGTCTTTGGTTGATTTTGCCTCGCGACAAATGCGGACCACATCGCAGCCTAGGTCCTCAGCTAGCCTCATCTTGTCTTCCAGGCCTGGGTTCCGCCAGCCGCTTGGGGAGAGGGAGTTACACGTGTAGTGGGCGATGATCTTTGTTGTTCCTTTGCTTGCGACGAGATCCCGAATGACGTTCTCGTCGCAGCGGAGATCTACGCAGAGATATTCTGGAGCAAGACGGAGGCCGTGGTTCAGGACGTTTAGGTAGTATGCGGAGGCGTGCTCTGGCGAGAAGCAGCTCATTATTCCCGTAGATGATGATTCGAGTTCGAGATTGAGGACGATGGGGAGACGGGTGAATCTCCTGACAGCATAAAGCAAGCGGCAGACACGGTTGGCAGTTGCATCGTCGAACTCGGCCGACGTTGCCTGTAGTTCTCTCACAGGAATGACTAGTTCCGCAACATCGGCTGTTGTCGTGATGTTGCGAAGTTCTGCACCGGCGGTCTCTACCAATGACATTGGTAAGTTGAGAGAATATGTGTATGGCCGGCGCTCCAGCGGTAATGAAGCAGAGCCCTCGGTGGCACGATACCGTTCCGAGCCCTGTCTGTCGCTTTCCATAATGCTGTCAATGAGTCCGAGAAAGTCGTATTCCACCCGCTTTAACGCAAGAGACCTTGGTGACTGGTGGCCAGGAATGGTCGTGACCTCGCCCGAGGCCTTTCCTAGGGTGTCTGAAATGTTGTAAAATTCAAAGTTGGATATCGATCGATGTGTCGGGCCACTAAGCTGAAAGAGACGCGTGATAGCATCAGTATCCCACACTTTGAGATGCATCTTCACATCTTCCGCATCTCTCAGGACATAGATGATGGGATGCGTCTGTCCATATTCCGCAAGCCACGCCTGCCCCGTCTCTTCCACAGCTCCAGGCCCACAGGCAATGACAGACTTTGTCGGATTCTCGAACAGCATAGAATGCAGAAGCTTCAGTTCTTCCCGGCGATATTCAGCCGTGCCGTGCTGCGTCTTGTAACTGGCGCGTGAGAGGCCCGTCATCTGGAAGAACTGCTGGTCGGCGTCGAGTAGGCGGAACCCCAAAGCGCTGGCCGCGATCACGGCAAGCGTCGAGCGGCCTGTGCCTCTGATGCCGACGAGCACGATGGAGGCGTCGGGGGCGTAGCTGCGTCGGCCGGGGGTAAAGCCATGACATGATGCCTGTGGTGGTGATTGTTGGCCAAAAGGCTTGCTTGAGTTGACGGCTGGCCCGACCAGCGGTAGAGTCGGCATCATAGTGGAAGCCGCCGACTCCTTGGTGCTTGGAAGAAGAGTTCTCGATATTGAATCTATTCTATATCTTGGGCGAGGGTGACAGCACCTCAAATTTGGAGAAACCTGGGGCAGTCGACGCTGGCATGGACCACGGTTGAATGGGGTCACGGATGTATCCACATCCCTCTGTCTCCGAGTACTTATCTAACCAGCTCGAACGAAGATGAACCGAATAAAACATGTGGGGTAGATGGTCCCTTAGGTACTCACAATTCCAACATACAACGCGGCCAGTATTGAAGGTGCCAAAGGAGTGGTTTACCCCGGAGTCGGGGCCCCGGAGATTTCTTCACGAGGCGGGGGCCCACAGCGTGGCGGCCGGCAAAGGGCTTACCCGGTCGCCACGGACCCCTGCTCGTCAACACCATGAGCACGCCGCTTCTGGTCTACTTTCACACATCTGCATCTGTGGCAATCATTCCCATATTTTCCTTAGCGAGATGAATATTCTCGGTAGAGACTCACTAGGGGATCGGCTTTGGAAGGCTTATTGCTCGCGTGGTTTGAGAGACTGTCCCAAAAGATTTCAAAGGGTGGTTGAAGACTAATCTAATTTTCCGATATTTCAGATCTAAACGAACACCCATTTTCCTGAACCCCAATACCTCCCTTGTCTAAATGTTGCACAACTAATTACCGACCGTCGATGCAAAAGACGCCATCTGATGCTTAGATTACACATTAGCTCACCACGGTCTTAATACAAGCGCAGCCTCGTAGTTTACTTCCGCTTGACCCCTTGTCCCTTGGGCACCCTGACAAGCCAGTAGAGACCACATGCAGCAACAACATTAAACACAATGTACACCCAGAGAAGCCCAAAGTTCCTCCATCTATCGTCGTAGTTGATCTCAAAAGTCTCAAGATAATCGTCCGTGGTATTCATACGACAGTACCCACAAGTCTCCCTCGCCGCAGCATCCACCAAATACCCGCCAGCGCGCTCAACAAAAGGGCCAAGAAACTCGCCGCACGTCATGTTCGTCGGCACCGGAACGGACACAATCTCCGTTGCCGTGCAAACGACCTTGGATCCATGCAGACAGGTCGACAGCGCACCGCTCACGAGGTATGTCATGGGGCTGACCCAGTACATGAAGTCGCTCCATATCGCGGGTAGGTCGGCGCGGATGACGCCCACGCCGCAAAAGGACATGCAGAGGATGGCAAACAAGCTGGCTGGGATGCTGGCTAGGTCGGCCGTCTCGATCGCGGCGATGGCGAGCTGGGAGAATGTGCTAACCCAGAGGAAGAACATCCATATGAAGAGGAAGACAGTGAAGCCGCGGATCGCGACGTCTTCGGAGGTGGTGTTGCGGTAGAATTTGGCTGGGTAGTACCAGCAGAAGAAGAAGATGACTGCGGCGATGGTGTTCCAAATCATCTCGATGGCGATATTGGACAGGAAGTATGCTGCAGATGGGTTAGCTTTAGCCTTTGTCGATGTAGAACATCCATGGTGCGGATGCTTACTCGTCCATCGATAGACGCGAGACGGCCTCTCTCGTCCTTCGTAGAGAGCCCTTTGGGGGATGAACATGGGCATGATCTGCTTGCTGAACTCGTTGACAGTCGTGAGGCACATGAAGAAGGCGTAAAGCTGGTTCTGCAGGCCTTGCAAGCTGTTGTCTGACTTGAACGTGAATCCAATGTAGAGAGCCTGGGTAAACTTGGTTATTACACAGGAAAAGATGTGCTGCATGATGAACAAGTCAGGAGGGCAGCATACCAAAAGAATTGTCAAAGCTTCGACCAGATATACACAGGAGATCTCCAAAAGTGCTTTGCCGTACGAACAAAGACGTGTATGAACTGAGTCCAGAACGACGAGGCAAACTCCTGGCTGGCGACATCATTCTCTGCACCTTTCGTCATGGGCTTATCTTGGGTCTGTTGGCGCAAAATTCCAAGCTCGTTCTTCACCTCGCGGTACTCTGGAGACGAGCGCCAAATCTCACACCAATTAGGTCCGTCATCGGAAAGCGTGGTGGCCTTGAGCATCCACTCTGCGGGATTGGCTTTAGGAGGACATGGTGATGCGCCGTTTCGTTCGAGGTAGTCAATCATCGTTTTGGCATTCTTACCAATATCTGCGCGCATGTAAGCCAAGAGTACGTCGGGGGAGAGAGCAACAACAACGACGACAACGATGTACCTCCAAAATAAACAGTTTTGCCCCCACGCTGCAGCAAAAGAAGCCTATCGAAACGGGCGAAAAGCATGGCAGACGGCTGGTGGATAGTACACAAAATCGCCTGGCCGCTCTTTGCAAGTTTCTCAATCAAATCACAAATCGCCCAAGACGTCTGTGAATCAAGCCCCGAGGTCGGTTCATCCAGAAAGACCAGTAACTGTGGTCTGGCAGCGAGCTCGACTCCAATCGTCAGTCGTTTGCGCTGTTCAACGTTGAGTCCCTGTCTAGGGACTCCAATAACTGCATCTACAAAGTCGCTCATATCGAGCAGCTCAATTACTTCGTCGATATATGCCAACTTTGCCTCGCGAGGGGTCTCGGCACTTTGCCGTAACAATGCACTGAACTCGAGGGCCTCTCGGACGGTCATGGTATCTAAGTGGACGTCTTGCTGCTGGACGTACCCGACGCGGTTGGGGAAGGATCTGTCTGTTGCTTGGCCGTTGACCATGGTGTCGCCGGATATCACGCCCATGGTGATCCGAGCAGCGAGAGCGTCGAGTAATGTTGTTTTACCAGCACCAGAGGCGCCCTATTGAGGTTAAAGAAAGTCAAAGCACAAAGTAAGCGAGAGTGCATAATTACCATGAGAGCTGTGATGACACCCGGCTGCACCCAACCGTCTACGAAATCCAGGATGCGCCGGTCCTGGTCTTTGATCTTGACGTCGTAGCAGATGTCTTCCCAGTGGAAGATTGGCTTACCGCATTCACTCGGTCTCGGCCTCTTCTCTGACGTCTCATCAGTCGGCATGGCAGATACTTTCTCGGTCGAAGTCATGTTGCGGGACTGAACTTCCTCGTCGGTCAGGGCTTTTTGGTCCATAGCGGGAGGTACTTTGCCACGTCGGAAAACAAGAACCTCGCCTTCGCTCTTAGGCGGCTTAGCATATTCGGCGGTGATGATGTATGTGATGAAGAACACCACGACGTATGCGCATAGTATGCCGACGTTCCTGTGACAAGTCAGATATTGTGCCAACGAAGATTTTCGTGACGCACCCACCTCCACTTATTATCGTTGAAGTACCCAAAGGATTGCTCAATGTATCGGTCACCATCTATCATATCTGAGCCCGGTACAGCGCCCACAACAGCGCAGGTACGACCAGAAATCGAGAGACCATCGTATCCAGGACCAGACGGCACGAGCCCAGCACATAAGAACTGACGATCATGAAACTCATTGGCCATGAGCGCCTCGAACGCATAAGAAAGGGGGTTGACGTATCCCATCCAGCGTGACCACCCCTGCATATAGGCTGTCGGTACCGTGAAGCCGGCATACATCATCACGCCGATAGTAACAAGAGTGACGGGGACCATGGCTTGATGCGAGGTACGTGCGAGGGATGCCATGGTGCGATAGATGCCCGACATAGCTAGGAGTACCAAGAATGAGACAAGGCAGAAGAAGAAGAAGGGGCCAGGCTCTCGATTCAAGTTTGCCATGAAGTAGAGAATCGAGTTGAAGGTGAAGACGTTGGTGATTTTGTATGGTAATTCGGTGATGTAGCTCGAGATGGCTTCCGCAGACTGGTGGTAGAGGGCGTATCGGTTATGCTTTTCGATGACGGGTCTTTGAGTGTACAATGTGAGAACCTAAGTAGGTCATTGTAAGTTTCAAGATCGAAGCGAGGCACGGATTTGCAGACAGAAGTCTCCTATCGCCACTGAGTGGTGTGTACTAACCTCCATTTCACTAGCAAAAGCATTAAACAACAGAGCAAAGAAGATTAGTCCACCACGGTAGTAGAACGTCCCCGAGTCCTGCCTCAAGTTGAAAAACATGCTTCCGAGCACGAATCCAACAATGATGTTGAACACCAGAGAAGACAGCGTGAACTCGGGGTCGGCAACCAGACGCTTCCACCCGCGCCAAAGACATAGCTTGACTTGACTCGGATATGTAATCATGTAAGGAGACTTGAGTCGTTGCCATGAACTTCTCTCGGCTTTGATGCTGTTCTGGAACGCCTCGAGGCGGGCTTTCGACGAATGATTGCTATCGTAGGCCGCAATGTCTGCCATGAGTGTTACATGCTGTTTGGATGCCTTCCATCTGGCGGCGAACTCTTCAGGGGTTCGAGGGGCGAGGTGATCGTGGCCTGGTTGAACCTTTCTTTCGTTTGGAGATGTCATCGACGTGAGGAAGTCCGAAACGGTTTGCCGGTCGGGACCTGTATTTTTTCCACGTCAGAACAGAGATCAGATAGAAACAGCAGTGAGTAGATACTGACACTGAAAGCCAAGCTCCTCAAAGTACCGCTTCGCTTCGCCAATCCTGCCAAAGAAGATCTGTCTCCCCTCATACACTACCGTCACCTTATCAAATAGCTACCACTAATGTCAACGAAACAACCCCATATTACCTCTCCTAAGACCATCCACGAGAATAAACGTACATCATATGCAGACTGCGGCGCCTGATAGATAGCCACAACAGACGCAACCCCCAACAGATCACTCTGCGTCCTCAAATTCCGACAAAACGCAATCGCGTTCCCACTATCAAGCCCTCGCGTGCTATTATCCCAGCACTGGAACTTGGCACCCGTCAGCGCGGCCTCGACGATGCTGACGCGCTTGCGCTCGCCACCCGAGACCCCGCGCACGTAGTCGTCGCCGACTTTGGTGTTGACGGTGTGGGCGATGCCAAAGGCCGCCATCATGACGTCGCGCATGATGCGCGCGAACTGTTGGCCCGTGAGGTTTCCGGGTACGTGGGAGGGAACTCTGGCGCGCGCGGCGAATTCGAGGGTGTCGCCCACGGACAGGGGGGCGAGGTGGACGTCTACTTCGGCGTTGTAGAGGACGTCGCCGCGGAACCAGTCGTGCATGCGGTTTGGTTCGATTCCTGGTGAATAATTAGATGCATGGCTAGACGCTCAATGAAGAAATCTGGCTTACCCCGGAAGTTCATATAGGAGTCCTGGGCAACGTTCAACCCTTCAGTCTGACCAGCCAACGTCTTAAGAAGAGTAGAGCACCCTGACCCAGGCGGACCAAGCACGAGCAGCATCTCACCAGGCTCAACAAGGCCCTCAAAGTCTCGCAGGATATCGATCCGTCTCCTCGACCTCCCCGTGGCAAGGCCAACAAGATCAGATACCATACTGAGTGCAATGTTGCCAGTGCTCTTCTGGTACTGTGTCCCAGAGCTATATCCAAAGACATTGAGGTCTCGAAATGCGACTCCCGCGCTCCTATTGGGTGCTGAGTTGGGATCTGATTCGAAAAGGTGAATGAAGGCCTGTGTCCATGCTACGCTGTCAAAGTTTGAGGAGTTCGGATCCAGATGGCTGTTCTTGGGTGGGTTCAAGACATCGTGGTGCGTGTTGGCATCGTGAACGTGTGATGCGTTTGTGACTTGGCGTGCTAGTTGTTCGATTTCTGTTTGCGTGTCGTCGGCTGCTGTCGATGAAGAAGATCCCGAGAATTGATCGGTCGACACCATCTCGATGCCGGCCTCATCAAATGCTGCCATGGTCTAAGCTGCTGTTGACAGGCTCTAGTCCGGAATAGAGTCTGGAGTAAAGTTTGATGTCAGGTGATATGAGATGATAGGTTGCAGTGAACGGATTTCAGATGAACCATCGATATACTACTCCATGTCTTCTTCTGTTCATCTTGTGAGAAAAGTTCTCATACATAAAAGACATCATACCAACAACTTGGATCGCAGCCTGTGTAAGTGCGGACGCCCGCGGTCATCCGCACTGCGCCTCATGTGGGGAATTGGTCTGGGACTGCCAGTACGGGCGGCCGGCCGCTTCGTAATGTTCGTGTTATTCATTCTGCATAAGAAAATTCGCCAAGTCTAGTACTCTGGGTCAAGTAATTACTGATGGCTCTGAGAGTGTGGTTGTGATGTCGAACCCATGCCGCTCGGGCTGCCGCGGGTGGCCGAGAGAACGCGGCACAATTAAAAACGGGGCATTGGTCCCCATGCGAAGGAGGATCACCATGCGGTTGTCTAATCTCGCATCCCCGACGGGAGATTTCCCTTTTCTCTAGCAGGGTTCCTAGTTAAGCATGTCCGGCAATATGGATAACATTTGGATCTCGAGGCTGCACTACTCGGATCCGTGGACGTCCGCCTATGCTGTGGATTTGGGGCAGTGCCAACTGCCAAAGCAAAGGCGGTACTCGCAGTCATCAGTTGGTATAACCGAACATCAGCTAGGCCGCCTCGCTGGTGGGCTTTCATCTTCCTCACGAACCATGGAATACAGGAAAAGGGCTTCATGCTCGGCCACGGTGAACCCGACGGGATGAGATTCATGCCGATCGCCCGGTGCAGAGACCGATTTGCCCCATATTTCCGGCGTTGATGCCGCTCGATCCCGGACCTCTCGATGGAAAGCGACTTTCCACTCCCTCACTCATCTAGCCTAGAAGACTGTGAGATGACACGTATTCTAGTAATCAAACTTATTGTATTGTTCCTTCTTGGGCATATATCTAGTGACTATAGTCCCGTAGAAAAAAATCCCCCATTTCAATATAAGCTCCCCTTCACATCTATCAACCGATCTCGACCCTCCTTATCTTGAAGCAATATAATGGCATATGCTTCTCAGTCGTAATAGTATTCCTTCACATTCATAAACCATCAAAAATCGTTTCAAGCATCACAGGCAAACTCGCAAGACAAACACCATCATACCTGCCCAGCCCACCTCTCCGCAACCCTCGACGTGAAGAAAACCCCGGCCGCAAGAATCGTGAACCCCGGCGCGAAAAGCAACAGAATGCCCACCACAACCATATTCGCAAAGAACTCTGACGTCCCAAACGCGGGCGCGCGACCGATGAAGCCCGGACCCATCTTGTGGACAGTCACCGTCGGACCGGCGGCCTGTGTCTGTATCTGTGCCTGCTGCTGCTGCTGCTGCTTATCCACCGGTGGTGCTTGTTGGCCCCCCGCCGTTTGAATCTGGATTTGGCCCAGAGCGTGGAAGATGTCTGATGCGAGGGGTTTGTGTTCCTCGTCGATTGTGACGCCTGAGAGCCAGGCGTGGATGTTTTCGTGGGGGTCTGTTGATCTCTTTGGCGGTGGTGGAGGCGGACGACGAGGTTGAGCGTTGGATTTCGGCATGGAAGGGCGTGCATGTTGGTTTACGGGGTGGTCGTCTTCTTCGTAGATGAAGGAGCGTCCATGTCCATCTGCTATCCGGTCAGCAAGTTTCGAACTCAAGGTGACTCCAAGAGGGGTTTGTTCAGCCTACCAAACTGATCTGCCCAATTCATGGCGCCGAAAGAAGCCTTATCGATGACCGACTAGGCGTGCTGATTGTTCCTCAGTAGGCGGAGTTGAGTGCTTGAATCCAGAGTAGCTTAGATGAGGGGCAATAGACCCTTCGTCTTTCGGTTGTAAGTGGATCTCAACGAGCGCTTGCTTGAAAAGAAGAAGCCATTATCGTCAAGAAAGACTCCTGGACGAATCCGTAGAGATAAACTGACCAAAGTGGTTATTGACTGTTTGTTTGACACGTGCGTTGTCGGGGAGAAAGGAGCGATTATTTAAGTGGTTATGGGCACTGGAATGCTTCATTTCACGAATGTTGCTGGGTCTTGGCTGTGGCTTCATTCCGTAGCACCTCTTATCTGGAACCAGTCTGTGATAAGGCAGGTACGCATGCCTTTGGCGTAATTGCGTCTCACGTATTTGGGCAATACTCACTGATCTTCCAAGTGTGGTTCCAAGCAGACTAGCATCGTCGGCGGGTAGACTAGGCACATCGTTGCCGAAGGGAGGACGGCAGTCATCAATAGCCGTCTGACATTGAAAAGAACAGCTTTGAGATCACTGTTCACTAGGACTAGGACTGGAACTTGATCAAGTTCTCAAAACTCCAGTTCCCGAGAAGAGCACTGCAGGGAAAATCAGGGCAAGCGATTAAAAGGTCCTTGTATTCCCATCCGGCCTTGAGTACTGTATGCAAACATTAATCTCATCAATCCACCCCTGCCATACTGTCGGTAATCTACAGCCCTTCCCCTAAGATTCATGTATACTGCGTTCCTAGTCAAGAGGCCTAGAAGCCGCATGACGGGTTCATGCAAGGCACGCGGTAGACGTGCCCGCCTGCCGATCGATGACACTGCGAGTATCCTCATCGGGATGTTGCAGCGGGACACATCGTCTTTCTGCAGCAAAAAAGTTGTCATCTCGAATTTGAGTTATTCTTTTGTGCCCAGTGTAGTTAAAAGAAAAAGAAGTTCGTCGTCGTCCATCATCCCGTTTCCCATTCCTGGTTTGCCCAAGTCACAAAAAGAACACCGTGCTTGCAGCGCGATCGAAATGTCCTCGATTGAGGACCCCAGCCCGCAGAAAAGAAAATCTTAAACGCCATCTCCTACCATTTGCTTTCCTCCCAACCATCCCTATTGCCCGTAAGAATAGAGACAAAGGGAAAGAAAACGTTGTCGTCTTCGCAGTTCATACAGTAAAAGGAAAAGGTAGTAGGTACATAGGAAAGAAAAAGCGACTTGGTAGAGGTCGGTGGAAAACGAATGACCGCTTTCAATGCCAGAAACGCCATAGGTATGTGCAACGCCAACGTTGAAGTGCTTGTCTAGAGAGGAAAACCAAGATGTGCCTAGCTGCAAACGACGCCATTAATGACGGGGAGTCGGCTCGGGTTGCCAGCCGTTGATGTAAGCCATGAGGCCCATGCCAAGGATTACCACGCCAAGCATGGAAGCATAAGGAACCCCGGCCATCATGGCCTGATCCTTTGCCAGCTTGCTTGGGGGTATGCTAAGTGGCGTAATGGTGTTGGCTCGCGACAAGGTGGGCTTGTCGCCAAAGTCATCCGAGGGGGACTCTGCCTGTGCGGGAGCAGGCGTCGAGTCACCAGATCCGTTGACTTGCACAACTGAAGTTGTCTTGTCGGCAGGCCCCTCGCTCCGGCCGCGTCGTCCTCGGGAAAGAGAACGATTCTTCTCCGCAGCAGCAGCGTTTCGCCTGGCCTCCTCGTCTCTGCGAATCTGGGCAACCATCTCGGCCAAAGTTTGACGATCAGCGTCGCGCTCCGTCTCGGCCTTCTCGCATCTGTGTTTCCATGCCTCCATCTGTTGCTTCAGGTCCGTCACTTCTGACATCATTGTGTCAAGCTTGACCTGGAAGCGTGCAGCAATATCCTCAGCGCTCTCTGGCGCAGGCTCCTTGGGTAGCGGTTCAGCATCTGTCATCTCGATATCCTGGGTGTCGGCAGCATCGCGGGGCGGCTCGAAGGCCTCCTCGAGGAGAGCCTCGGTATCGTGTTCCTTGGGCGCGCCATTGGTTTCTTTCGAGGCACTGTCCTCGAGGATCTTTGCCATATCCTCGGCCAGCTCGCGTGCCTCCCGCTCCTTTCGGAGCATGTCTTCCAAATCCCTAATACGGGCTGTTTGGGTATCCATTTCCTTCTTTGCGTTATTCAAGGCTTCGGTCAACTGAATGATCTGATGCAAATTGTCTCGTCCAACGGGCGAGGTGGTGCTAGTAGTCTTTGGTCGCTCAGTGGTGCCCCGTTTCAGTGAAGGCACATCGGGCTTCTCAGGTAGCGGCTGCTGAGGAGGCGGGGCAGGAGGATCGGAAAATCTCGTCTTCGCATCGGTGCGATAGGGTAGAGCATTGCCATTGGGAAGCTGCTTCGGAGGTTCGGGGGCTTCCGGCTTCTCGAGGTCCTTTACATCATCTTTGCTCAGGAGAGCATGGACGAATTGGCCTGTCCGAGACAGATCTTGAGACTGCAATCGAGCATTGCGCATCTCGTTCTACAACCTAGTTAGCTCCGTTCAAGATGTCTAGAGAATTGGGCACTCACGTGAAGTCTCTTGACGATATGCTCCGTGGTAATGGGCGTTAACAAGAACCCACGGGCTGCTCCACCATTAGGGGCCATGCCGGCCATATTCTGGGGTGCCATCATGCGGCCATTGCTGGCCATCGATGCGTTGCTTCCAGTCCTGCCACGGTAGGGCATCGGGCTCGGCGCCGGCATCATCATGCCACCATTCGCGGGGTCCAAATCGCCAAAATTCATGTCCATAACGTTACTCGAAGGACTCATAAAGCCAGCGTGCTCGACCTTTGCGGCAACCTTATGGTGGACGACGGTCTTCTGATCCTCGCTCACGATATCGATTCCCAGCTCCAAATGATCTCCGGTCTGCAACTCGTGTGGTTCGGATTCGCGATTCTCCTGGGAGAGACGTGTGCCGTTGACAAAGGTTCCGTTGGACGATTTAACGTCACGAATATAAATCTTGCCCGTGCGATCTGCCCATATCTCGGCGTGCTGCCTTGATAGCACTTTACTATCAAAGTAGCCGTTGGTGGCAGTCGGGATTGTCTTCTGATTGGTTTGGCGACCGATACGGAGGCTTTCTGGGTAGAATGGTACTGAGATGGTTTTGCGTTCAAAGGTGCCATTGAGCGACAAGAGATAGAGCACAGGCTGCCCGCTAGGCATCGGATCGCCCATGGGCCTTGCCCCAAGTCCCTGTTGCGACATCATTTGCGGCTGACCCGGTGCCGTCTGCAGCGACGAACCGCCATTGATGCCGTTGATGGCATTCCGCATGATGGGTCTGCCGAACTCGGCTTGACCTTCTGGCTTGCCTGGCGGCCATGGTCCTTTGGGTTGTGGTCGCTTTCTCGAGGCGGTGCTGGACCAGCTCATATCAGAGTTTGTAGACGCCGGGGTGCCATTTGGTTGAGATCCATTGGTGGCAACAGTAGTAGTAGACGAGTTGGAGGAGGTAGACGAGACCGAGGAGGAAGAGTTGCTCCGCTGCAGCGTCTTCCGAGGCGCGGCGAACATGCCTCTGACGTCTTCTGGGTTCATCGAATTCAGACTTTGGCCGCCATTAACATTCCATCCCGGTCGATTGAGTTGCTGGAAGCTGGGCGGACTCGCGACGGCAGTCATGGGGAAGTCGTCGTTGGGTTCAGGTAAGGATCGTGGAGCAGTACAAGTCGTGGCAAGAGCGAGCAGGTGATGGCAGCTCGTAGGGTATCGATATTGATGGATGGTGTGGTCTAGGTGACGTCGGGGGCTCCTTCTTTGACCATTCGCACAGCAGCCCGGAGGGTATCGTAAAGATCAGTCGCCGAAAGATAACGCGGATATGTCAGATGGAGTCGATGGGGGTTCGCTGCAGAGAGAAGGAAGCAATGAGGCTGAGCTGGCAGGTTAAAAAAATAAGTCAGCGATGATGTCGCGGCAAGGATAGGGGTGGACAGCCAATTGGCGCGACCCAGAAGCGGCCTGCGACGGGACGGAGGGTCGCAGAAAACCGGGCCAAAAAGGATCAGACAGGCAGGAGAGACATACCAGCAATGTCGAGGGAGTGGGCAAAGGGACGGTTTTCTTTGAGCACCACGGTCGACGATGGGCTCAAGCGGAAGCGTCGTCGGGGGGTCGGGTGGTCTCCGTGGGTAGGTAGGTGAGGTTGAATCTAGGATTTGGGCAAAGAGAACAGAACGTGTCGCCCCGTCTCGCTAAGCGCTTAGCGTAAGTGCGTGAGGTGAGCGCTGGCGCTGGGGGGAGATCTGTGGTGGGAGGGCCAAACAGCGTTCGGAAACACGCGCCGGAGCCGACTTGGGAGTCTGGGACATGGGCGGGCGGAAACAGCAGGGCCACAAGGCTCAGCGTCAGCGGGCGGCAGGCCGAGGGACCGGAAAATTCTCAGTCCACCACAGTTGGTTCGGTTACTGTTCAGCGTGTGAGGGTTCAGTTCAGTTCAGTTCAGCTGAGCACAGGCCCCCAAGGCTTGGGTGTTTGACTGGATTTTTCCACCATGGGCCAGTTGGGATGTGATCTTCATATGAACAAGAATGTATGGTAGCAAAGAAAGAGGAAGAGGTGTGGTAATGACAGGAAAAGAGGAGAGAAAAGAAAAAGAATAAAAAAAGGACTGGTGCTCATCCGGGTGAAGGCGGTCTGGTCTGGTCACTGTGCTGTCATCGCCTCCGGTCCAGCTGGCTGCTGTTCTTGCCTTAGCCGTGGGGATCCACCCTCACCTGCCCACCGTCACATTCCATTTGCGGTGGTCGCCTGCGCTGTTCAAAGACTCGGGGGCACGTGATATGGTCCAAGGCGAGATGTGTGGGTGCTGCACAAAGAAAGGAAAGAGAGCCAATAAGAGGGCCAGGCTGACAGAAACGGGTCTAAGGCGTTCTAGTGAGATGGCCTGTGCTTCAGGTGACCGTGACATCGCTGCTCTTTCCTTTCGCTCGACGGGAACTTCCAGGCTCGAACCTCAAAAGGTGGGGCTACCCGCTTCAGTCTTTTTGCCGAATAACTGCCGTTCCCCGGATTCGATTCGTCCAAAGCTCCAGTGGCACCCGGCTCGGAAAGGCTGACCTTCGGCCACTTGGATTGGGTGCAGCAAATTGGAAGAGCTCCTCCCAGCCCACCATCGCAAACATCACCGATTCCCATCCCACGACTGACCACCTATACAGTATTGAGCACCACCAGGAGCTCGATTGACAATCCGATACCCAACATACAGTCTTCTCTACTGTTCTATCCCTCTTCTCACAATGCCTCCCGTTCCTGCGCAACATGGCGGTGCCATGGGCCCTGGAATCGCTGACAAGAGTATGATCATCCTCTTACAACCTTTACACGAGCTTCTAGCTAAATCTCCGCAGTGAAGATGGGTGCTCTCATGGGTGGAAGTACGTCTAGACTGGCTCGACAGCCCTCTTGACCTTGTCGCTGACCAATCTCTAGCTGTTGGATCCGTCATGGGCTTCGTTTTCGGTGTGCAACTCTCCCTACTTCTCTCGCATCGCATCAACTAACCAGCTACCCCCACAGGCTCCGTTAACATCATGCGCTACGGTGCCGGCCCGAACGGCATCATGAGAACTCTGGGGCAATACATGCTTGGTTCAGGAGCAACTTTCGGGTAGGCCGAGCACCGCCTGGCCTCTAGATACACAAAGACTAACTGCCTCGCAGCTTCTTCATGTCCATCGGTAGTGTCATCCGGTCCGATGCTTCTCCCATTGCCGAGGAGGCTTTCCGAAGGGCCAACCGAAGACCCATCATCATGTACGGCCCAGGCTCCGAATACGCCAAGCGCCAGCAATAAGCTAGAGGAAACACATTTCGAAATACCCTGTACATCATCATGTAGGAGAATAGTAGGCTGTCGCAAAAGGACCGCACGATGCTACGACACCGGCATCAAATGGATATCTGTATAATACTTAGGTGTTGGGCATATCACGACTGCATGAGAAAAGTTATTGCATCTTACAGGCGAGTCTTTGCAAACGGCCAAGCCAAATCTCGGTGCCGCTACCGCTTCTCGTGTCTACCGACAACATTAGCCCGCATCAGTTGGGTTGCTGGATGGAAGGAAATCAAGCAGAGCGATGTCTAGATGCTTAAAGACATTACAAGTCAAAACGGTATCTTGTCGTCAAACGGGACCGGCCGGCGCCAGGAGACCGCATCGCGCTAGCCTGGCTTGGTTCTTACTACTCGTACCTCCTTTGATGCAGCTGGCCAAGCTGAGTTGACGTCGACTTGTTAGCATGCAGGCTTCCAATATATATGCATATGTACACAACAGTCGCCTTACACACGGACAGACACTCGGATTCCGACCCGTTCCCTTTTTCTTGCCATGTCTGCGGAGTTCCGCAAGATATTTGCTTACTCATCGTGCATACAGACTTGATGACCAGCGTCGTATCGTCCTGGCTTCATTGCATGACCCAGCCTATTCGACGCAGTAATACGCGTTGAATCAGCTATGTCTTGGTCTAGCGTCTGTACAAAGTGGCGCTGATCTCTGGGTGATATGGATCTGCGCGCAAAGAGGACACGGAAAGCTGTTGATTATTGATTACAATTGGCTATCCAAAAGAGGCAAGCTCTGCTGGGTTAGCTTTCGTGGTTCCTAGCTCGCAGTCTAGGTAATGGATGAATATAAGTTCACACTATCTACTCACCGATGTCTCCTCGTTTCAACTCACTTTTTCATACAATTCATCTCCAGCTCTACCATGCGCTTGAAACTTTGTCCTTATTGGACAAGCATATGGGTGAGCCTTGCTGTAAGTACCATGGCTGATACCTACGATTACATGTGAGTGACAGCTGGAGGTCTCACAAGCTCAAACACTCGATTCTAACGTGGTATTAGCATCGTCGGCGGAGGCACCGCTGGACTGACGGTCGCGGCTCGCCTCAGTGAGGATCCTCAAGTGACGGTTCTCGTCTTGGAAGCTGGTGCAGATCGCTCTGCCGACCTCAATGTTTTGGCCCCCGGACTGTTCCCCGCCATGTACGGCAACGCCGACTATGACTGGGACTACAAGACAGTTCCACAGGTACTTACTTTGATCCTCGTCCTAACAGACCGCAGTAAGCTGACACGTCCAGACATCGGCCAACGACAAAGTCGTCGCCCATATCCGCGGAAAGCAGCTGGGCGGCTCTAGCGCTATGAACTTTATGTTCTGGACGCACCCTTCCCAGCGAGACATTGACAACTGGGGCGCTCTGGGAAACGAAGGTTGGTCATGGATGGAGCTGGCCCCTTACCTTGAAAAGTCGGAATCGTTTGTGGCACCCTCGAGCCAGCAGACGAGCGATCTCCTGCTCGACTACGTTGACCCTAGCGTCCATGGTACCGCTGGGCCCATAGCCAATGAGTTCCCACAACTCTATAGCCCCTTTCTCCAAGCCTGGCCACGAACTCTTGAGAAGCTTGGGCTCGGTGTCAACGGCGATCCTCGTGATGGTGTGGCTTTGGGAGGCTATGTCAACCAACTCAATATCGACAAGGGCACGAGAAGCTACGCCGCGAACACTTATCTTGGCCCGGCACGTCAACGGGCCAACTTAAAAGTGGTCACGGACGCTTTGGTAACCAAGATTTTGCTGGAGAAGACGCGTGATGGAGTCTTGGTCAAAGGGGTGAAGTGGTCGCACGGTGGATTGGAGAAAGAAGCTGCCGCAAAGAAGGAAGTGATCGTCGCCGCCGGTTCCATTGCCTCGCCGCAGCTTCTCGAGGTCTCCGGTGTGGGAGACCACAAACTCTTGGAAAGTCACGGCGTCGAGGTTTTCGCTGTCAACCCCAATGTCGGCGAGAATCTTCAGGATCACGTTTACGTTCCCCTCGGGTGAGTTTTCATCTCTCAAATATTCGTATCTACTGTGGTTCAAGACAACGACTGATCATCATCCCAGATTCGCGGTGAAGCCCGGCGTACCTACCAACGAGGACTACACCAACGCAACCTACTTCCAAGAACAGCTCGGCCTGTACCTTCGAAATAAGACCGGGCGGCTGTCCTCTGCTGGCGCCAGCTCGGCACTGCTGTCCTTGCAGCAGATCGCCTCCACTCTAGACCTGTCTTTGCCTTCACCGAAGACCAGCCTCCCTGGCTTGGTCGAACAGCACAGGATCACCTTCCGAGACCTCAAATCCGAAGCCATTGCCCAAGAGCTGACGATCGAGGGCGGTATTTCACCCCAGTTCTCCGCCGATACGACCAAGCTCTTCTCGGCGGGGTCACCCGGCAACTTTCTCTCCATCCTAGGTGTCCTGGAGCACCCCTTTTCGAGAGGCTCAATTCACATCCAGTCCGCCGACGCAGCGGTTCACCCAATCATTGATCCACGCTACCTCTCCCATCCGCTCGACATACAGCTTTTGAAAGCAATCACGCTTCATCTGCAGACCGTCGCGCGGACACAACCGCTGAGCGACTTGCTCCAAGGTGAAGGCACCGTATTCCAGCCCGGGTACCACGAGCTCACGGCCGCAAACGTGGAAGAATGGATTAGGGGCAGTATGCAGAGTGAGTACCACCCCTGCGGCACCTGCGCCATGTTGCCTAGGTCAAAAGGTGGTGTGGTCGACGAGAGGTTCAGGGTATACGGGGTCAAGGGGCTGCGGGTGGTCGACGCCAGTATCTTCCCGCTGATTCCGAGGGCCAATATCCAGTCTGTGGTCTACGCGGTGGCGGAAAGGGCAGTTGATTTCATCAAAGAGGATGCCCTCTGAGGTGCATTATCTAAAGTATTCTATCTCGCTACCATCGTATACACACATTACATCAGTCCATTACATCCTATCTGAAGACGGTGACCCATCTAGAAAGTCAAAGCAAACATCGTCAAAGCAACTGCAGCAAAGACTCCGGCCGGGCCAGTGACGCTTCCACCGCTGACAGCAGTCGGCGTAGCAGTTGGGCTTGAAGTACCGTTCGTAGAAGTAGCGTTCGCCTTCAGACTCGCGACACCAAAGGTGAGCTGCTCGAGGTTCGTCCCGTTCCACACAGTGTAGTATCCCTTCAACAGCGGGCTGCCCAGAACCCAAATGGACGCGAGGTCGCTAATGGGCTGCACGGGGTTCAGGAAGATGGTCTGGCAGATGCCGCTGTGGCCGGGGTACTCGCCCAGGTTGAAGGCGCCCTTGGGGACCGTCATGTTGACCAGGTTGTCGCCGACGCCAAGGGTGAAAGTCAGCTCCGGATCAAGCTTCTCGACCACGTCGCAGGGGGCGCCCCAGACACCGAGCTCGTCGATCTGGGTGATGTCGGAGCTGATGGCGGCGTAAATGTCCTTGGCGGTCTGGTAATCCGGCGTCTGGAGGTACGCGGTGCCGGTGTCGACGTTGGAGACGCCGACGGGGAAGGCTTCGCCCGAGGCGTTGGAGTTGGAGACGGTCTTGCCGTTGACGTAGAAGGCGGGCTGGTCGATGAACCAGCTCCCGCCGAGGTAGGACACCGTCATGTTGAAGTCGACATTCGCAATCTCGCCCTCGTAGTAGTCCTTGTTCACGCCGCCGAGCGTGAGCTCGCCCGGCGCGCTGCCCTCGCCAGAGTTGAGGAAGAAGGAGAAGAGGGGTTCGGGGACGCCGCCGTTCTGCGCGAGGGTCCAGAACCAGGTTGAGAAGGAGGAGTTTGTCTCAGCGGAGAAGTGAGAGAACCCGGGGGGTCCGAGGCCGAAGATGCCGTCAATGTTGGGCATCTCGTTAAAGGCTTCGGCGTAGGTGTCGCAGAGAAGCCAGGTCTGGTTCGCGACGGTGAGGTTGCCGACGGTCACGGCATCAGTTACGACGGTGCCGGACGCGGCTTGCGGGACGGCGTAGGGGACGGATTTGCCGCCTGTGCCAAAAGCGGTTGTGACATTGTAGCCGGGTTGGGGGGAGAAGGTTGTGGAGGAGGAGGCGTTGAATTCTTTGGCGACGAGGCAGTTTGTGCAGGCTGTTGAGGGGAGGATCAGGTCCGTTGAGCCGGTGTCGAAGGTAACGATGCTGTGAGGTTGCGTGTATTAGTAGAGTTGCTCGTCTATTATCCCGCGGGAGTTACAAGACTTACTGCTTCTGTGGCGGTGTGCCAACGTCGACTTCACCAATCCATTGGAGGTCGAAGTTCTCAAACCAGTTGGTCAGGGAGACAGAGCCAACGGCCGCGCGCTTGCTGAGAGTCTTTGTCTTTGAGAGATTTGTACGGCGGCTCTGAAGCTTGATGTTCACCGGGTCGGCGGCCGCGGAGTGGCCCAGAGCCAGAAGGGCGACTGCCCCGGAGACTGTCTCGAATCTCATGATGATTATTTGGGGCAACGAGCTCAATTTATGGTCAAATTACTATTAAGAAGGTGTGAAGAGAGGATGAGAGATGTGCTGCTGAAGGAAACTAGAGTCGTGATCTTTTATCTCCATGAGAGGCAGACATTCTCGACTTATATATAGTACGTCGGTTGAAGTTGACCAGGCACGCGTTGGAAGCGTCAAGCACAGCTTACATTGTTTGTGGATGCTGATCCTCCAGGCACCTTTTTTGCAAGGGTTACGGCAACGCGGGTTCGGCAGAGCATGAAGACATCTCGAAACAACCTCCAAGAAAACCTCTGCTATGTCAACGTTTTTGGGACTTTGGTCGTCGAGAGACAATTAGCCCCAAGACCTCGTCATCTCACTAGCTTGAAAGAAGAATAGCCTAATGCAGCCCCCATCAATGACCCTGGCCCTGACTCTAAAGTTGTTGGTTAGAGCATACCAAAGTCCCGTTCCCACAGCAGAGGCGGCCGACCCATACCCACATGCCGCTTACACCTGAGCTTTTGGTCCAAGTTCAAGCTCGCAGTAGTATTCGTTCAGTAGCGTGGTGCCTGAAAAATGGCGGAGCCGGGCTGTGGAGGGAAGACGGCGCTCATTTTTAGGTGAGGTGGCTGTAGCCTGCGTAAGTATGGGACAGGGCTGAGCCCATGCCAGCAGGGGTCTGGACAGAAACCTACCAAAGCAGTTAGATCCCTACGAGCTTCGGACTCTTCACATTGAGCTCTCTGGACCAATAACTCACTGTTTGGGAAGATGGAGAAGGTGAAAGGTTGAGAGATGGAGGTGGGTTGTCGTCCTCTATTTCGAAGAATTTTGAGAGACTAGGATCCCACAGCACGGGAAGGCTACATGGTACCGTTTGAATTTGGGGGCGGCTTGTCTCAGCACCATGCGTTGTTGCGGCACGAGTGTTCTTTTTGCCTTGCGATCCGATAGTCTGAACTCTCAAATGACTTTGCGAAGATGGTAAGCTGACATCGTGACAAATTGAGGATGGGGTTTGGCCCTGTCAGTGTGCAGGTCTCGTGTAGTTGGACTTTGCGTGGTGGTCGCCGCAGGTCAAGAGTACGACTCCGTTGGCAGCGGTTCTTCTCACCGATTGATCATAAGGGAAACAGAGATTTCGGCTAATATTGTCGCCATAAATTCTTGCCGTTATTAATTGATTATCGTTTTGCTTGATAATGACTGCGTGGCTAGCACCTTGGTTAAGGGCCGCATTTTCGTTGAGATTTGAGCTGCACGTTCAGCGGAATTCTTAGAGGCTTGGACATGAGCTTGGCTTCAACGATCTCCTTGGCGCTGAAGCTTAAACGTGTTTGCCTTAGCCTTGTAACAAAACTTTCCTCTTTTGACGCGCAGGTACCTTCATCGGTTTCCTAGCATGACATCTTCCCGACTTAGTGGACTGCCTTATTACTGTATTGACGAAGAGCATCAGAATCAGAGCGAGGGAGCGAGATTTTCAAGCAACGTACAAAGCCTTGAGCAACCATAGAAGCTGTGAAATTGTGCGGCAGTCACAGAAGATACGAAGGCATGTGTTCCGCCCGCTTGTTCGCTGGTCTACAGACATTCTGCTAGTCATATTGAGATATCAACGCGCAAACTTGCAGCCAAATGACTATCAGGTACTACGTGTAGGACCCAACTAGAGCCTGGTGCGTTCCGAGATGCTAGTCTCGACGAGCGGGCTCGAGACCCCACGGATATGGAGCGCAACAACGGGCCGATATGGTATCCGGGAGGGGCATTGAGTGCATGGCGCATGCATCGTCCCGAGACCGGGAGCCAATGATGGGGCATATAAAATCCGGAATGTGGAGGCCCGGCAATTGTGGGACAGGAGCGGCATCCGGCCCGTAAATCATTCACCGGTGCCGACCGGTCTTCCGAAAGCATGTGCCGTAAGCGCGAGAGCTAGTCTTCGCTGAAATTCTCCAAGTAATCTCACTCTCCCTTGTGACAAAATCTCAATTGGAAAATGTTCAACGGAGCCATCTGTCACTAGTGCTTAACTACCGGGGATAATGTTCCGTATCGGCAGTGCTCCGCGGGATCGAATAAGTAATGAGATTGACACTTACATTATCTCCTTGACAATAAGAAGAGTCTAGTCGGCAAGACTCCGATGCTGAGATGCCTTGCGCAGAGAAGATGGACGGCGTTGAGGGCGCTTTTGAGGCAGCCACGGCCGAATCACGACACTGGACCCCGCGATGGCGACACACCCCACGCCAAGGGGTAGCGAATCATCAGCGCTTCGCAGCACATCATCAAGCATCGGACCCCGTTGTAACCCACACGACTCCCGAAGTGTTATCTGGGCAGTTCTCCAGTATCCTTGAGATTGTGGCCAACTTGAAACCTCCTTTAGCGTAGCGCGATGGCCAGTTTATCAGGAAGCGAGATACATAAATCAGGTACGAAATCCCCCAAAGTCGAGAACACTGCGGTTGAAACGTTGCGTCTGTTCAATTTCCCCTTTCTCGAACTCCTCTCTGTCTTCCCGTTGTAAGTTGTTGACTCTCCGGGTTTACTAGAGCTCTCACCTCTGCTCGGCATGGGGTCAGAGCAAGAATACGCGTCCGCGTCTCCCAAGGGAGTAACGGTGGACGAGTTCTCTTCAGACGGACAAAACTCTGCAGTACTCGAGAAGAAGAAAGCACCATGGTGGTCTTACATCTGGGACTACGAACCAGGTCGGTCGCAGGAGGAACGCGTATTCATCCAGAAGCTCGACGTCTTCTTGATAACAATGCTGAGTTTCGGTTACTTTATCAAAAACCTCGACCAGACGAACATCAGCAACGCGTTTGTTAGCGGAATGAAGGAGGACCTCGCAATGAACGGAAACGAGATCAATCTCATCGACACAGCATGGACCGTCGGCTACGTCGTGGGCCAGATCCCCTCGCAGATCGTCCTCACCAAAGTCCGTCCGTCCATCTGGGTGCCTTCGTGCGAGCTCCTTTGGACCGTCTTGACTTTCTGTCTGGCGGCGGCAAAGACCTCGAACCACGTCATTGCCATCCGCTTCTTCGTCGGCTTGGCAGAGTCAATCTTTTACCCAGCCGCTCACACGATCCTGGGCTCCTGGTATAAGCCCTCCGAGCTCGGCAAGCGAGCCTGCATCTTTCACGCCTCTTCGGCTGCGGCGAGCATGTTCTCGGGCTATTTGCAAGCTGGCGTCTATAAGGGCCTCAACGGCGTCCATGGGCTAGCAGGTTGGAAATGGCTATTTGTAAGCACCCCCTCGATTCCATATGGCGTGCTTTGGTGGAGAAGACTCCTACGAGACGCGTGCTGACTCGGGCTCCAACTTATAGATCATGGATGGAATAATCAGTCTGCCAATTTGCATTGCTGGATACTTCTTCCTGCCCGATCTCCCGGAGAATACACGAGCGTTCTACTTGACTGAGAATGTGAGTGAAACCAACTTCACTAATTTTGAGAAACCGCAGTTGCTCACAATCACCCAGGACCGTCAACTAGCTCGCAGGCGGATGGAGAGTGTCGGACGTGCTCCACGAACCAAATTGGGCCGTTCTGCGTTCAAGCGTATCTTTGGTCGCTGGCACGTCTACTTCCTAACCATTCTGTACATCATCTTCATCAACATTGGGCCTTCCAGCAGTGTGAATCCCTTCTCTCTCTGGCTCAAATCCAAGGGCGAATCTGTGGAGAAGATTGTAAGTTGGCTTTGCTTAGGATTGGTCTTGGGTATTACGTAGCTAACATGGATTTATTTCAGAATATCATTCCAACGGCGGCTTCAGCCATTCAATTGGTCCTCACGGTATCATTCGCCATTCTCTCCGATGCGATCCGCCATCGCGCCAGCGTCATGTCAATTTCCACCTTCCTCGGTGGCTTCGCTGCCTTGATCCTCGCCATCTGGAACGTACCAGACGGGCTAAAGTGGTTTGCGTTCCTTCTCCAGCGTGCTTCCGTACCGTACGGACCACTCAGCATGAGCTGGACCAACGAGATCTGCGGCGCCGATGCCGAGGAACGTGCTATTGTCATAGGAATCATGAACTCGCTAGGCTACGCCTTCAATGCCTGGGTGCCAATCCTGACTTATCCTCAAGTTGATTCGCCCAAATTCAAAAAGGGCTTCATCTTCTCGACTGTCGCTTTCGGTGCCCAAGCATTAATTACGGCGACAGTGGCCTTTTTATACAAGCGAGACAAGAAGAAGGAGGGAATCACGAAGAGAGATGAGGAAGGTGTTACAGCGCCTGCCTCTGTCCCTAACGCCGAATAAACTTTTGATCTTTACAAACCGGCAATAGCTTAGAAACATACCGCCAGCGCCTTCAGCTTACTTTGTCCCCTATTTGATATTGGTCCCTTTTAGTCTCCTTCAAGGTAAAGGGACTCTAGCTCACGAATACCGGCATTTTCACAACCTTAGCAAGCATCTTTGAACTCTTGAGTTTGAGCGTTTTCATCAGCATCTAGATCACTTTCCAGCCTTGATAGAAAATATTAGATATCTCAAGCCCTTCTCGAAAGCCCAATCTGGGCCAAAAAGTCTTGATAACACTAGTTGGTGTATCAACTACCTCAAAAAGTGACGAACCAAAGGTTCCGAGACTTGATCATCGGATATTTTCATAAGATGCTACGATGAAATGATACATCCCAAACCAAGGTGGTTCTAATCCACGATACGGATCGTTTTGTTTTCGGAAGTGCTCCGGACATAGTCTCATGTGCACGAGACAGAGCGACACTTCGTACCTTGGTTATGTCAAAGTCAAGAGCTTTAGTATTGCCTCTTTATATCAAGAGAGACATGTCCGGTGCAATTCGTCACTGAAGGCCCAAGCCCATTGCCTTTCTCTGATTTTTTCTTCTCAAGTTCTCATCTCTTTGTGTACTCTCTACCAGAGCAGCAGGGGTCAAGCCGGCGTTTATTTTCCGAGCTCTGTCTGCTATAGCTGTATTTGCAGAGGAGATTCCAGGTCTGGAACTTTGTATGCGGGTCACAATTCTCCACCAAATACTCATATCTCTGGTTCAACCCTATCTAATCAGTCTGCTTATCGTCTTTGATCGTCGTTGTGTTTTTGGTTCTAATAGTCGAGGAAATCTCTGTAATCCATTTTCCCAACTGTTTCATCAGAGCAAAGAGTACAACACCCTTTGGTAACTTATAATAGTTTGTTCGACTAACTGAGTAGTAGATGGGCTCCACCGCAAGCTTGGAGATACACAGGGCTTTTCATGACTATGCCATTAACCTAGGTGGGGTTACAGCCTCTTTGAGACCTTCTCAAACATGCCTCACGAACAGTGCATTGGGATAGGAACAAGACAGACTAGACAGGACTACCAAAGGGCTAAACATGTTTGAGCGATATAGAAGTAGAAAGTCTCAAATGCCCGGAACCCTTATATCGATATAGACGCAGTTGCTTGCAGAAGCCCACTCGTATATCTTTTCTCAACATTCTATGATTCGCGACTCGTCATTCAAATTAATTGCGATCCCAACCCTCTTGCCATCAACATGAATCGAATCATTTAGAAGCTATCAATTGTCTCTAAATCACTAACATTGTGCTGTGTCAAATCTACGTGCAGCACTAGATGCTCTTTTTTGACACACCTTAATCTTCCGAAAGATAACTGAGGCGTCTTTGAATGAAGTCACGGGAGGACGATTAGATGGATCCAGTCTTTTCTTACTGATACCTCAATTTGCTTTGTGTAAACGTGACCTCATCAAGCCATCCAACTCGAAAACCTTGCTCGAGGCTTTCATCATTAGTGAGACCAGTCACCGTGTTTCATAGTCTGCCTATGATCTACATGATATTACCATTCCAAGGTAGGCTTTTATCACTTTTTGAACTTACTCTTTTCTGTTTATCTAAAGACTTCGAGCAAACCTAGTTCCTATGTAAATGATGCTCTAAGCGGCACAGCTTTCGAATTCGATGTGTGAGCCTCTGTGGCTCAGTATTTTTGGTAGAAGGTTTAGCCGAGACTTGGCTTGAGCCTAGGTGAGATCCATCTTAGCCATACCAAACTTGAGAGCCAATCAAGAACGTTATATGCCGCTCCTACGTACTGTGTCAAGCCATTTCCCGCCGTTATCAGCCACCTTAAGATTACCGACAAGAATCACATCATTCCACGGTAGGGGCAACACTGTCCAGACTCCAGAGTCTCCAATCCTCGAATTTGACGATTCCAGAACTGCGCGGGTGCTTCTTTGCCCAGTGGTTGACAGTTTTTAGATGCCTCGCTTCGAAGCTCTGACAGTATGCACGCCATACTTTCATTGTCTATCAAACAGTCGTGTGGCAGTGTGACGGCTCGCCCTGTTACTGCGTTGGCCCTCCACCCCACCTCGACGCGCTTGGGTCCGGTGGCAAAGCCAAGATCATCAAAATATCTCAAGGTACATATGAAAATCAACGGTCGATCGGATGATGGGAGTGACGAAGAAGCCACCTGCACCATCGTGACTGGCGAAGAGGGGCCGGGATGGTGTGTTTTCGACCCTTGCATGTCAGATGTCGCGAAGCGGACTGGGGCTCCTCACAACCAACCGCTCCTATCTTCCCCACAAACGCTCATCGAACCCCATAAAACTCACTCGTTCAAGTTGGACCGATCACCAGGATGTTGGAAGAATGGCCGGTTAATTTGCTGGCTGCAAGTCTAGTCCTCTAGGTCGCAACGTTTTCTGGGGTCACTCCAGGGTTCCGGTCGTAGTCCTGGTGGTGGGTGCGGGAGCCCGGTGTAATTCGGCATTTTGCCGTAGGCTAGGTATGGGCGTGCGGCACGTCTCCAAATCTGTCGAGAGTCTCCTGTTAGCTCCTCGCATCTTTTCCCCTCATGGAAGCTGGGGTAAATTGGGGAACCATGTCGGCCCATGGTGCGGCTTCGCTGAAATACCACGGCCTCTGCAGCTCTGTTATTACGGTCTGTTATCACTTGCTTTTCCAGCTGCAAGTTTCTACTGCGACCCATTACCGGCATTTGATGCAGCTTCAATGTGACGGAAAGGTTATTTAGCCTCCGTCTTGCTATTTTCAAATTTATCCCTCGAATCCTTCCGCAAAGCTTTCGCTCTACCAGCAACATGCTCGTCACTCAGCCCATTCGCCCACGGCCGATCAAGACTCGGTCGAGAGCAGGTTCGTACGATGATTCTTTTACGACAGCCACGGATCCAAGATTTCTGACATGGACATTGCTGTAATGATAGGGTGCAAATACTGGTGAGCTGATATTCGAGCTTCCCTTCCATCTTATGTTGTGATAGTGAAGAGTAATCATTTTGCTAACCACACCTTTCCAGTCGTGACAAGGTTGGCCATCTTGACCCATCTTGGACCTGAATCTTTAACTAATACCTCTCTAGAGAAAGAAATGCTCAGAAGAACGCCCGCAATGTCTTCGCTGTGTACAGGCTGGTATAGTCTGTGTGTATGAGCCTATAAAGAAGAGGAAGAGAAGAACTTCGACCCGGCCAGTTGACGCTCAAGACTCCATGGCATCAGACGACTCAAGTAGCCCGACGGGCAACACGGACTTCCAGGCAAGCCCAGATACAAATATCGTCACCCCGCCCGATGTTATACAACTAGGCGTAGAAGAAACTCTATCTCCAACATCGGTTGTAGAAAGCAGTTATTCTACTTCGATCGATTCGGCTTTTGCCTTCTCCGAAGACCTCGACGACACAGGCAGCTATGATGTTGGCTATGAGACCTCACAACATTTCGAGGACGGGTTCAAGTTGATTGAGGATCTGGGTTGTCAGAAAGCAACTGAAGTCCACCTCCCACTCTCTCTTGCGGCTATAGAACAGAGTTATCAGCAGCCAACAGATGATTCCTTTTTCAGCGCCAGTTTCGACGTATCTTGGAACGAGCAATCCTGGTCAATTGCATCCCCGCCCTTGCTGGACCTACTGCCGCCGACCGGTCGTAACATCTTCGATTTACCAGAGAATACCGGCTTGTTAGATCACTACTCCAAGATTATGCTCCCGACAATGGGGTTTGTAAATGGTGTCGCAAACCCTTTTAGGCAACATATTCTTCCCCTTTCCCATAGGAGTTCGGCTGTTCGAAATGCGATCTACGCATTGGCCAGCGCACACCGTGAATACGCTGGTCTTGAGACCACAGAGGGATCTGCGTGTTTTCATGAAAGAGCCGTGGCTGGTCTTTCTGCGATTATCGAGGATGGAGATGGATTTGAAGAAGCTCTGGCGACGATAATTCTACTTATACAGTACGATCTGGTAAGAGAAGTCATGACAACGGATTGAACTTGACGCATCGACTGACTGGTGGGGTAGATTTTACAGCGGAGCTCGGACAAAGTGGTGTATAATCATCTCCAAGGCGCTCGCCACATCATTTGTGCCATGCCACCCCACAAGCCTGCGAGTGTGTTATTCTTTGAACAGGTAAGCTACCTAGCGTTGTTGGAAATGGTATGAAAACACCTTTAACATGTGGCAGGTATTTCGCTACTTTGATGTACTCAACGCCTTGACGAACGGCACGTCTCCCGTCTTCGCAGCATCCTCAAGTCGAGCCTACTCACCGAGCACCCCGCCACCATCTATCGGCTCCGGTGGAATCGATCCTATATTGGGAATGGCCGATGATCTTTGGCCCACCATGCACCGTCTTGCAGAGCTCATGGCGATGAAACGCGAGCTTCAAGCCGCCACAGCGATGGGACAAACCTCAAAATTCGCCGTCCTCCGTACCGAATATCAAACGGCATACAAAGCAATAGAGAAAGCCCTAGAGTCATGGAGTCCGACGTTGCCGCCAGGTTTTACCCTGGTTAACCGTATCGTTGACGGCCCTGAGAGCGCATCAGAGGCAGAGCTTGCCAACATCCGGTGGATCACAAGTACAGCACTCGCATACAGACAGAGCGCTCTGGTCTTTCTTTACAGCAACGTTTCGGAGTACCCTTCATTACATCGCTTGGTGCAGAAACACGCGCAGGCTGCTCTGTGGCACTGTGCGGCGTCAGTGTCTCATGGCGGAGCAGGACTCTCCATGCTGTGGCCACTCTTCTTCTCTGCTTGCCACGCCATATGCAGCAGGGACAGAGGCTTGGTGCGTCAGGCATTCACTGCCTTTGGCACCAAGAAGGGTGTGGTTGACACGGAAAAGCCGTGGGCTGTAGTCATGGACGTGTGGAGAAGGATGGACATGCGAGCATACGGCAAGGAGCAAGTGGGTTCTGAGGCCAGTCCAGACTTGTGGAGGCAAGTGGCGGCAAGCATGAAGTTTGGCCTTGTGTTTGGCTGAATGGAAGTGACCTCATTCGTACGAGAGTCGGTTCGGTGCTTTGGGGACGGAGACGGAGACGGACAAGTCTAAAGGAGACCCCAGCTCAGGGCCTTTTCCGGGACCCTTATTTTGATAGCTTCACGGTATGACGGTCGTTCCAGAAGGCAACATGTGTTTTGATATATTGGGTAAAACACTGGGATAAAGGGATACTACACGCCAGCAAAAAGTGTTGCATTAGCATTTGAATATACCACGATCGTTTCTTTGGACTTGGCCTCGGTTACCCAAGTGGAACGAGAACGAGTTGATTGCGCATTATGGACTGTTCATCGGCGCTCTGCACTAGCGCTTCTCTGGCGGAGCCCAACATCCACCTTGTCGAGCAAGCTAATGCAGCTCATGATTGCGTCCGCTCGTCCACAGGACCAGCAACTCCTTCAGGTGAGTCGACGTGGCCCGACCAATGCCAAACACCACTGTCATGATTGTCCGCCAACCAACGTTGGAGGACAGGGAGCCGCAGGGTACATTTCGACCTCGGTACAGGGTTCTTTTCAGCCTGATTACCGCTCTGCAGGTTTAGGGGACCAGGGGCGGCACGGACGAGCGAAACTACTACCTAGCAGTTAAAGTAATAACACAGAAGAGATGGACGCCTGGGCCTGAAATTGTAAAAGTAGGTATGGTGTCACCTTAGGTACCCAGCTGCTGTGCGCATTCCAACGCCGAGACGTTGCGGCAGACTGGTGCGAGATATCTGCATCTGCGAGCGGTTCCCGATCTGGGCCTAGACGCCCAGAGGCGCAGACGTCCTTTCGTCTGATTTTGGCGCACCCTCCATCACACGAAGCCATGCGTGCCGGCCACGCGTTGCAACCCCAGAACGCGGTGCAAATACCGAAAGCGGTATTTAGCCTGGGACTTTTCGTTTTTGAACCCGAGTACTCAGTACCGTGACTGTGAGGGCTCTGACTTTTTGGAGTCAAGGGTGAGGGGAAGAGAGATGAGGGAAGACGGCCAAGTCACATCTCTCGCTCACCCTTCCTCGCTTCTTGGGTTTAAATTTTAAATTGCAATCGATGCAGACGTTCTAGGTAGGGCTGAGCGCTTACGCGGTGCCCCAATATTGAATCAACGCCCAGATGTGTGGACCGTGTCATGGGTCATAGAGAGGCTTTTGGGATCAAGGATCAACTGTCAATCCGACCTGATGGGTTCGTTTGCTCCGCGTCCTGTGAGTAGCAAGTGATCCTCAAGAAGTCGTCTTCGCGCCAGCGCGCTGCGCACCGCGCACACCGGCCGTCCGTCTTTGTCATATCTCAGCTCAGCATTAGAAGGCACAAGAGTCGGTGACACCAGTGCATGCGAGCAGAAGTACCCAAGCCAACCAGCCGCGCCGGTCTAACCTCACGGAGCTTGATTTGAGGCTGGACACGCATTTGGGGCGTCATGTGATGGATGCAAACCCGGGCTCGATTTGCGAGCAGGTGTGAGGGTTCTGACCTACTGACTTGTGCTGGCTGGACTTCATGTGGTGTAAATGCCTGGCAGATGGGCGGCCCAGACGTGCATTTGCTTCTGCACCACCCCACATGGCTGCCGGATCCCGGCCGTTGGTGTTATTTCTCCAACTGTCCGAGACTAACGGGCGGGGAAAAGGGACGTCCTATTCTTCTGATGTGTGAGGGGTGTTCGATCCAGGATTGAGGGTTGGTTTTGCACTCCTCCCTGCACCAGAGCACGTGGCGCAACTTGGACGTTGAAAGGACTGGGAGTATGGGGTCCCGTATGTCTGAGGAGAAGCACGATCTCTTCGGATGTCTACTGGGCAGAAGATTTGCTCGTGGTTGAAGAGACAAGAAGGCCAGCAAATGTGTGGCATTTTTCTCCGAGTGTGTGGCCTATGTCCAGCGAGCGGGTTTGCAAGACGTTGATTTGATGGACTCTGGGACTGTGCGGACTGCTCTGTGGTTGGCTCGGCTTCGATTTCCTCTTACTGCCACCAGCCACATGCCGGAGAAAGTGCCGGATACTTTACCGGGCTTGGTGGGGCCGGGGTCGGGGCCGAAGTGGAAAATAGACCAGCTTCCCAGTATAACCGGAGATCGATAAGGTAGCTCGAGACATTCACTTGAGTCAGACGCCACTTCTATCAACATGACCTTCGATGTCATTGGGCACCCAACGCTTTCTGTTCAATGTTTCAAGACTTCATCGACTCCCTGGGAGGTTCAAACCTCAAGATGTGGTTCACCAACAATTTTCTTGGAAAGTAGCAGTAACGGTCTTTTGTGTGGTGACTTAAGATCACATTATTGTTCCAAGTTGCTTGGCCAAAATAATTCTGAAAGTGTACTTATTTCCAAGATGAAGTCTGGGTCTCCAACCAAGGCACCATAACATCCACGACGCCCTGCAAGTTCTCGGGGAACAGTGCGTGAGAGGCATCTTCAACAAAGACAACCGTAGACCGGCTTCCCACTAGCCCAGTAGTGTAGTTCCACTGGTCTTCTCTCCTCCACGGATCCAATGTCGCGATGATGTCCAAGATCTGAGTAGTGTTGCTGCCGATTGTGGTGCTCGTAGGAGCGCCAGTCACGGAGCCCATAGCCTCAGGAAACCAACCCGTCAACCATAGAGAGGCATTGTGTCCGGGAGCAAAGTAACCCAGCTCCAAAGCAGCGAGACGTTCCTCTACGGAGTACGTATAGTTGCTCGCAATGTTGGCCGTAGCTGCGATAGTAGCATTGGTGTTGATGCCGGTGTTGATGCACGCCAAGACGATCGAAGGCACCTTATCCGGGTAGGCAGCGGCCATGTTCTTTGCCATACGTTGGCCAGCGGCGTGGCCGAGTACCACGGCCTTTCCGTTGCCAAAGGTATCAATGACCGAGACGAGGTCGGCGCCTACCTCGGCCCAAGTGGTAACGATGGGACCGGTAGATTCGCCCATGCCTCGGGGTTGAGGACGCAAGACGCGATAGCCAGCGTCGGCGAGGGCGGTCGAAAACTCGTGGAAATCATCGATGCTGTCCCGGGCATAAGACGGCCAGACAAGCAGTGACGGGCCGTCTCCCTCGACTAGGACCTGAATCGTGTTGTTTGATGACCCGGTGAGATATTCTGTGGTGTATACAGCGGATGCCAGGCCCAGCAGAGCAGAAGAAGCGAGAAGATTATTGATAAACATCGTGATATGCCCTCGTTGTTCTTTCCAGGCAAGCTTATAAGATTCGACTTTTGAACGAATGAAAGAATCTTTGCCGAGTGTACGGCTATATTTAAGAGAACGTTGAGTGATTGATGAACGATGTGGTGCAGGAGGTTCTGTGGCAGACGATCAGAGGCATGATATATACAGAAACAGAACCCGCAATGCTGGCTCCCACTTCACCGGAAGTTGAAAAGCTTCAGTCGGGACCCCTGAGCTTTCTTACGAATGTTCTCCATTCTGCATCGCAAATCCCACAGATTAGAGTTCACAGACTTCTTGGCGTCTATCCACGGCGGCGGTACTACCGATCTGTGCAACGTCGGCACCTTGAAAGCGTAGCCCTTAGGTAAAACGAAGACCTCCTTAATCTTCCAACGATCTTGTCTTCCCGGACATACCAAAAGTGGCGCACGCCGGGCGATGAACAATTATGAATGCTTCAGGGTCGATTTTGAAAGGTCCGATAACTTCAACACGGTCGACTCTTTTTAATGATCGTTTAACTCAGTTTGAGGCAGATGAATTTGATAGTGGCTTCCGGCTCGATAGCAAGCTACAGGATCAAGAAGGCAAGAAGCTGACAATGTCCAATAACATATCGGCAAATTCACTCCAAAAACGTTTCAAGAAAGCAAGCCATATCTACGAGGGCTGCAGTCCAGGATCGACAACACTCAAAATTCCGTCAACTTATGAATAGCGATGGAAAGGTCAGCAGCCAGTTCATCCCAGCACGTCAAGCAGTCTAGTCACGAAAAGCCTGGCCGCCAAGACTTGAGAAGCTTGTAAAGCGCCCCTTTCCGTGCAATTATTCCCCCACATACCGGGACGGGATTGATTAAGTTTCTCTATGTATTCATTTCGAGCATGGCCATTGCGGCGGGCGGCCGGTAGGCCACGCCATCCCGCGGAGGTTTAAACTTCAAATATGCGTATTTGCCCCGTGCCGCCCGGAGACACGACTCGCGTTCTCAACGAATTGAATATAAATCGCAGCTTGTACGCTGCCGTGATATTTTGGCGACCCCGATAAGTACGAAGTTCGGGTAGACTGATGAGTCGTCCAAAGTCGTACAACTAGCCATGGCCTACAAACTGTGAGCTCTCGACTTTTTCAGCTTAGTTTCTCATTTCCGAGTCTCATAGCGCCGGCGATTCCTTTCCTTGGAGAGTTTACGACAGACTTGCGACACTTGTCTTTTGATGCATAATAACTCTTTCTTGTTGTTTTCAACAGCTGGTTGAGTCGTCATCCCCTGACATACCACATGAGTTGACATGACCGAGACTCTGAATTAAAAAGACAAACGGTATGACCGTTATAAGAAGTTGAACTTGCCGTTTAGGACCTGAACACCTGCGAGACATAGATGTGTTTGAACATCTAGAATGACTTTGTTAGAAGTGAATCACAACCCGGGCAACATACGGTCTAAGATTTAGTAAATCTCTTGTTAGTCACTCAAGTACACGGCGTTCTGGCCAACTGTATCGATAAAGTTGATCTTTAGAGACTTCAGCTTCCTATAAGTAACTCGACGAACTTCTCAAAAGAAAAGCGTTGCTGAGTTCTAAGTTTCAAGTGAATGTTCATTGCGCCGCTTCCAACTGGGCATGTCATTCACCTATTTTGGCATCCTCGTCATGATTTACCATTAGAACATGAAATAGGCATCAGTCCAAGCCACGTTATATCATTCCCATGTTCTGATCTCAGAGCACGGCGGAGAGTCTTTGCCTTAGGTCAAGTCACAAGAATGATGGAGAGTCATGTTTTGGCATATTATCAGAGTATTAAAGT